TACCACCAAGGCAGGTGTTTCCTGATGAACCATACTTGCCAAAATTGAAGGTCTCCGCGGAAAGTGCAAATGACTTCCCGCCCAGGGTGATAGTCACATTTGGCATTGCGTCACACGGTACTTGAGACAACGTTCAGACAAACACAACGATGAAGCTTTCAAGATGCTTACGCGAGTATACACCTCCACCCACTTCTGTCGCATTGATAACTGCGTAGAGCTGGCTGACGTAGGACGTATCGCCCAAAATCAACGTGGTCCCAGTGTCGACAATTGCGGAGAATGTATTGACGATTTCTTTCCCATCGATCCCGATGGCATCACCAGTGACCTGCCAGTACCCCTGACAAATACGCGAAAGATGTCTGAGCAACTTGGTTTACAACTTACAGCTGATGACTAGTACTCACCTGTTGAATTACTGGAAGGTATGTGAACGGACCATAATATAACGTAGAGTTCACGCCTCCAACGTAAAGCTCAGAACCAGAGGATGCAAGTTTGAAAGCAAACACTGGTTCTGGAACAGCTTCTTGTGAAACCAACGTCTGGAAAACGGAGTTTGCGCCATACTCAGAAACAGACTTGAAAGCCATTCCCATGAGCCCGTCCGCACCAAAGTTCTCCGACGAGAACCCGTAGGAATATAACGAGGCAACTCCAAGCGTTTGTGCACTGGCCTGCAACATACTTCAAGAATTTAAATGAAGGACAGTAAGAACACTACGTACCTTGAAGCCAGCAAGTAACACAGTGTCCGTGTATAGAACGCCTGTAGCCATGGAACCATCGCTGTACTCCACTGTGAAATTCTTGCCAAGAGGCTCAGCAGACGAACTACTGTTGGGATTGTAAATTTCATGTCCGCTGCACGCTTCTCCGCAGCTTGGTCCAGGTAGAAAGAAGTCCGTCGAACCAGTGTCACAGTCAACTGGGGTGCTCGCATCAGCGCGTCATGCATAGCACGATCAAGTCGGAAATGCAAACCGGTGAATGTGTGCGGCGGAGTGCCGACCTCAATTTTTCCATACCAACGCTCGTTTGAGTCGTCGACTAGCGGGTCAGACCCTAACACTCCCGCACGCTTGATTGGCGATGGGGAGAAGAGGGCTACGCCAGTGTTTCTTTCGAATGCAGCAGCGCCCCGCTGTAACTTACTAGATATCTGATAAGTGGGAAACAGCACTGAACAATCACGGTCACGCACGCCTCTGTACTGGAAATATGAGCCCTGATTGAAGCAGGGTCAACGTATCCGTCAGCGGTCCTGAGAGTAGATCTTTTTGTTAATGGTATTGAAAGAGGTTGTGACTGCGGTAAAGTAATCGCCAACGCCTGCAAGGCAGCGATCAGTGACACAGATAAAGCACGCATTGCAGTAAAAGAAAAGGAAATATCCAATGGAGGTCCTCACCTCACAAACGGCTCATTATAACTTGAATGAGTGTGGAACGTGCACACTGCAAATACACCAAATGGGCGCTGTAACCACGAGGACGGTCTACCACTGTGACTGAGCCACGCAACTACCGACCTGCAACTACCGAATTTGTCGTTGTCCTGCCTTTCGTGCGGATGAAACGCGATGAACCAACCCCACTGATGACCGAACCTAATAGCCGAAAGGTCTTGTGTACGATTCTGGTCCATACTTATATGTCGCAGCGAACGTTGAACTAAAACTAAGCGAAGTCCACAAGTAGTCTTCTTTTCATGTTCGCTTATTGGCGGCCGTTTTCCGGCCAGTGTTCGCCGGCTGCTTCCTGAGAGCGCACTCTCTAGTAGAGTCACTTCTCGTTGACTCCCGGACACCTTTGCCTCAGCACTCGTAAAGAATGGTGCAAAGGTCCATACATATTGCTCCCCAGGAAGAACCCCAACTGAAGGAGCTGCATGGCATCGGGAAAGCTTTGACAACCAATAGACAGTCACTGACGCCGAATATCCGCGGACCACATCAAAGCAAACCCCAGCGTATGTGGATGTCCCGTGTTTATCGTACACACTCACAATTCCCAAGTCAAAGCCGGCGTCGGTGCTCTGATATTCGCTCTGGAAGACTGCGGGGGAATTGCGCATATGCACATACTCGTGAGTCGTGACTCGGACGACAACTTCAAGTTGGGGGTAGGACAATTATAGCCCTGACGTGAAGAACTGGTTTTACTATGAAATCTCTTGCCACCCCTCGGAGGTCACGGTAACCATTGAGTTTCAGTATGTCACAATGACGTCCTAGTAAGCGTTCGCTGCGTACCTGATGAAAGTTCCAAATACTCGCGAGATGGTCACCGGCTGCCATCCCAGGCGGTACACAATACACATGTTGGGGGACAACTTCAGAAAATGTACTCGTGATATGATCGAGCGCCGCGGCCTAACCAGGCAAATTTAAATCCACGTGGTATCAAAAATCACGCGGCTGCATGCGCACCCAACGTTTGCAAGCCAGGCTGAATCCTGGTACAGTGGTACTAAGCGTTGACTCTTGAGAGGCGATACACTGGTACTCGGTTCATTATCGCAGGAGGGGCGGGGTGCACGATATATATGACCGAGGGCCTCGCGTCAGGACGTCACATTGTGATTGCATTCAAGATCAGGCAGAGTGACTGGATCAGTGGTAACGGGAGTCCTATATTCATGAGTCGTGATACCGGTCTTACTGATTCAGCGTAGTATACATTGTACAACAATCCAAGAAGAGAAGCCCTCTCCAAGTCCGAATCGTAAATGTCATCAGTCTCGTAAACACCGTAGTCCAAAGTATCCACAGAAACTACAATGTCCTGCTCGAGTGCGATTTCCATACAGTCAGGCAACTGTTACCGAAGCTCATGCAAGGTACACAAAGTCAACTCTGGTGTGTCCGACATCAAAGATGGTGTAAACGTCTCTCCTGAAGACGGCGTCGCCAAGAATTTGAAATCGACCTGAAACTAAGTCAGCGGGGGCAGCTCTAGATCAGCTGAGACTCACCTCCAAGACTATGATAGCACCAATAGAAGGTGACGGCTGATGAATCAATAGGACCTGGGCTGAAGCTCTCTGTGGGAACTTGGAAGCGGAATAGGCTTCCCCCCAAGAATAATGCATGGCATTACGCGGTACTCAAACAACGTTTAGACAAACGTGATAATGAAAACTGTTGAGCTGCTTACGCACATGTACACCATGTTCTAGCCATCCGTAGCTGCGTAGAGCTATTTAACTTCGAACGGAGTGCCCAAGATCAATGGTCCCGGATGTGGTGACAGTGGCGGAGAATTTCTTGGCAACGGTTTTCCCATTTACCCCAATGCCATCCATCCCCATTTATCGGTCAATACGCAGCACCACTCGCACTCACAACTGACGGTTCACCTTTTTGGTTACGAGCATACGTGAATGAGCATTTATATACGCAGAGCTCACGCCAATGACGCGAAGCTCAGAACCAGAGGATGCAAGTTTGGAAGCAAATACTGATTCTGGGACAGCTCCTTGTCAGCGACCCTCAGAATGTGATTTTTTTCGTTGATGGAATCGAAAGATCTCAAAGGCTACAGCCGCGGTAGAGTAACCGCCCGTGCATGTAAGTCAGCGATCGAAGACAGAAATAAAGAACGCATTTACTGTAAGTGAAAAAGACAATTCCAAGAGCTACCAAGTCCCCGCTGCCTGTCCCGTAGCTAAAATTTTGACATTTGGTGCAAGATCTGGCTAGCTGTGCGATGGCGGCACTTTTGATCGATCACAGATTTGTGCTGTGACGCAGTGTTCTCTCACAAGTCCGGGGCTCGTTTGTTCTCACCGCCTGGCGCGCATACGGCGTAGATGAGTCGTCGTCTGCCAGTGATTCGTGCATGTCTTGATGGCCGATCATGAACACGGGCCTCTCGCAGTCCTAACATTACATTATGTATGATTAATTTCTGAAAACCGGACCGCGGATGCAAAGAAGATCCACAACTTACCATATGATGCTATGCTGCGCGGAGCACAGCTGGCCTGTGAAAGGTCAGAAAGTCGGAAAGCATTTCAAATCCGTTTGTCCTGTGACAGGAGGGACGAACTTCAGATACAACCGCCGATACGGATTCAAGTGTACAGCATGCGAGATCAGTGTTCACTACAATTTAGCGTGATGACTCGAGGAGACCTGCACTTGTAGTAGAAAGACTTCTCGCTGGTCATTCACAATTGCCCAATATAGTGTGCTGGGACCTTCGATCTTGGGTGTTCGAAGGAGCTTGGAAGACTCTGCCGTTGGGAGGTCGGCGTCGCATTAGTTTACAATAGGGGTGACAGAGGAACTAGGGGAGGAGTTGGCGGTGAAGAGATAAGATCGGCGAGATAGAACGATACATTCGCAAATCTGCTTGGTTTGTAGAAAGGAAAGGAAAATGTAGATCAGTGACGGTCGCCTGCTTTGGACAGAACATTTCAGTGATATTGCAGATTCGTCGTACGACGGAACTTCGTGCAGTAGTACAGGACTTGCTATCGTCAAAGTGCTCAAAACCAGTAAGTAGCCATTAAGAAAGTGAATAATGAGGTAGACAAATGAAATAGACCGGCTTTTCCCGGATTAATTTAAGTTGCTTCGAGTTTCTGACTGGGATTAAAATTGGCTGGTCGTTGACCTGCTTGGCTGGTGGCGGCTTCGAGCCTAAGTCTTCCAAATTGATCCCAATCACAACTCCTCGTAGACGCATTCGCGTTCTTGCACAATGCAAAGCAGAAAAGAAGTTGTTCTTGTCAAGTTCTCGCCAGACTACGTTCGCGAGATAGAAGGCATATACATACTCAAGCCCCCTCCTCCTCTAGATCCTCCATACCCGTTTATGAATTGAGTACATTAGCCCATCTCCTCTCCGGATCACTGCATTCACCACCGCGACACTGATTCGTCCACGTGGTTCCCGCCTAGTACCTACCCTTTCGCCTCATGCACCTCCCTCCCCCCACATCTGCTATGCCCGTGTCCTCAGAGTCACGCGTCGAAAAATTAAAATGCGCTAGAAGAAGTCGGCTCTGCTTTTTGGAATCCCGCTCTAGGTGGTGTACATGGTCTGCCTCGCGGAGAACTTCATGTTCGCTGGGAGCGTGACCCGGGAGGGGGTGGCTGTCTTAATCACACTCTGCAGACGTGCCGACTAGATGTGCAACAGTGTTTGCATGTCGATTTTACTACAGTCCAAATTGGTTCTCGCCGCCGGCAGTCGATATATATTGGGCCCCAGGGCCAAGCAAATTTCATATCTTAGCTGTTCACTGAGGGAATTGATTGTTGTACAGTGAGCATGGTATCATATTAATTTGTCTAAACGAGTCCTCCGTTGTCCTGATTGCAACCACGTACCCTATCGCTGGCTACTTTCCAATCATTGTCGCCGTTTAGATTATATTGCGAATATCTATAACCAAATACTTAATACTATTGGAAATCTAAATTGGAGGGCATGCAACACGAGGAATGTTGTTTGACTTATGCACAGGGACGAGCATTTATCATGTATTCCAGAGAGGAGAGATTACGCAGTGAATTATAAAATGAGACAAGTAAAATAAAAAAATATGGTACAAAACATGTGTAGACCAACAGACTGAGAAGTCATGGTGCATAGAGGATCAGACGAAGCCCTCCAGGGTGATTTCTGTACAGTCAGGCAGATCAAACCGAAGGTCATGCAAGCTCCGCAAAACCGATTCTGCATTGTCCGACATCAAAGGCAGTGTACACGTTTCTCATGAAGACGTCTCCAAGAATCCATTGCCATTGACCTGAATGTATGTCTCCAAGGTCATAACCTACGATACCACCAAAGCACATTTTTCCTGATGAATCAGTGGGGCCCATATTGAGGGTCTCCGCGGAAAGCGGAAACGACTTCCCCCCAAGAGTGATGGTCACGTTTGGCATGGCGTTACACGGTACTTGAAACAATGTTCAGAAAACCATAACAATGAAGCTGTCGAGCTGCTTACACGCGTATAAACCTTTATCAACTTCTGTCGCATTAATAGCTGCATACAGCTGACTGACGTAGGTGAAATTGCCCAAGATCGCTGAAGTCCCGGTGTCGACAACGGCGGAAAATCCCGTGACAATTTCTTTCCCATTGATCTTAATGGCATCCCCAGAAATCTGCCAGAACCCCTGATAAATACGTGAGTGATGTCTGAGAAGCGCCACTCAAGCTTACAACTGATGGCTCACCTTTTGGGTTACTGGAGTATACGTGAACCCACCTTCATATAACGCAGAGTTCACGCCACCAACGCGAAGTTCAGAACCAGAGGATGCAAGTTTAAAAGCAAACACTGGTTCCGGGACAGCTTTTTGTGCAACCAGCGTCTCGAAAACAGAGTCTGCGTCAAAAACGGAATTCGACCTAAGACCCATTCCTATTAGCCCGTCAGGTTTGTCCTTTGAGAAACCGGTAGTATTTGAGGCAACACCAAGTGTTTGTGCAGTGGCCTATGACAGACTTCACAAATTAAGACGAAGGATTGCAAGAAAACGACGCACCTTGAAGCCAGCAAGCGAGACAGTGTCCTTATATTGATTGCCTGTAACCGTGGAATTATCGCCGTACTTCAATTTGAACGCCTTTCCAAGAGCCTCAGAGGAAGAACTACTATCAGGATTGTATAGTTTATGTCCGCTGCAACTGGCACCGCAGCTTGGTCCAGGTAGAAAGAGGTCCGAGGAACCGGTGTCAAACTCGACTGGGCTCGCATTAGTGCATCCTAGTACCGACTTGATATGGAGGAATACAAACCGGAAAACGCCTGCGGCGGAGTTCCGACTTTGATTATTCCATACCAACTGTTGTTTGCGTTGTTAATTACTAGGGGTTCAGACCCTAACACTCCCGCATGCTTGGTTGGCGGTCGGGAGAAGAGGGCGTTTCTTTCGAATGCAGCAGCGCCCCGCTGTAACTTACTAAATACCCGATGAGTGGGAAACAACATTGGACAATCACAGTCACGTACGCCTCTATGCTGGAAATATGAGCCCTGATTGAAGTAGGGTCAACGTATCCGTCAGCGATCTTGAAAGTAGATTTTTTCATTAATGGTATTGAAAGAGGCTGTGGCTGTGGCAAACCAACGACCAACGCCTGTAAGGCAGCGATTGAGGACAGCAATAAAGAACGCATTGCTGTGAGTGAGATGGAGGAAACCAGTGGGTAGAGGGAGAAGAGGGTCTTTAAAGTGTTTGATTTGTCAATTTCTCCTAAAGTCTTCAAGCTCCTTTATATTTTTCTCTCGCACTGTATCATGCCTACTTGATGGTTTTTGATGGCGCCTTGCCACATACCGCTGTTCCGGTTGGCGTTAGTTGTTTCGCTTGGTCGTCCGCATATCGGCCAGCAGTTCGTAGATACCTTGACGGCCGTCAATCAGGGCTCTCGCGGCTTGACATTCTGTTATGTTAGCTTTTCATAAAACGCATACTGTACCTTACCACAGTTGATCGCAGTCTCTTGAGGGTGGACTGTGACAGGGGGAACTTTGAATATGTAGTATCAGCCTGTTTAGGTTCAGGACAAGTAGAGTAGCAAGTGCTGCACACTGCACAACGCGTGAAACGCGAACTTTGGCGTGACTGTAAATGCAAGCTGAATGAGACTGTATATCATGATCATAAACACCGTGAAGTACTCTAGCCAGCCCATTGGCTGAAACTGATTGTGATACATGGTAAAATTATAAATATCATCAACTTGGCGTTGAATCGACATTGACGGAGTTTTCCGGCCCGTATTCGGCTACTAGATCGTGTCTCTTGCCGAAATCTGTGTTTCTCCTCCCATGGATTTATAGTGGTTCCGTCTGCCAGCACCTCAGGTCTCACAAACAACATGTCCACACCCGGTATACTCGAATTTTTGACATACTTGCGAAATACTGATCTTGAGCGCTTGTCGCATTCCAGATCTCTCTGTTCAGTCGCTGTTCAATGTGAAGGGCAAGATCGGTACGTACTATGGTAGTGCCACGCTTCATGATGGATCACTAACCACTGTTCCACCAGCTCTCGTCACAGGTGGCGGTACTGGTATCGGAAAGACTATTGCCTCAGCACTCGTACAGAATGGTGCAAAGGTCTATATTGCTGCTAGGAAGGAATCCCAGTTGAAGGAGGTGCGTGCATTGGTTTCCCAGGCACAGTCAGAGTTCTAACAACCCATAGACAGTGGCTGAGCTTAATGCCAAAGGCCCTGGATCTGCAGACTACATCGTAGTGAACCTCGGCGTATGTTGATGTTCCTGTATATTATTAACTTGTGGTACTCACTGACAATACCAAGTCGAAAGCTGGCACAGACGCTCTGATATCCGCTCTGGAGGCCCGAGAGCCTGCGAAGAAATTACACATCCTTGTGAATAATTCAGGTGTTTCGTGGGGGTCGTCCTTCAAGAGCGTTCCAGAGGACAGGGGGTGGGACCATGTCATGGCCGTGAACGTCAAGAGCTTGTTCTACTGTGAGTGAAGCCTTGTCTTTCGGTGGTCATTATTGAGTTTTGGCATGCCAAGTGACGTCCGGGTAAACATTATTTCCATATCTAATACTTTTAAGACTCACGAGCTGGTAGGCTATCAACCTGGCTTGCAAAGGATGCGAGTGCACTCGATCCCGGCCGCGTGATTAATATTTCATCAACTGCAAGTGTTTCACCTCACGTGGAAAGCCTGGTTAGCGCAGATGGGAATGGGACATGGAGTTGTGCGTCATCGCGTTATGCAACTGCAACGTGACGAGCCTGATGCTATTTTGTTCTCTTCAAGACAGTGTCAGTAAGGCCGCAGGTAAGAAAATATCTGTCGACGAGGTTGTGTAGGGCTATGCTGAAATTCTTCGCAGTGAATCACCTGACATCAATCCTGGCTGTCAAGTTGGGATCACAGAAGATCACGTATGTAGAAACTCCAGTTCATGCTGTCCACTCCTGATTTCTCCGTCTGTAGTGTTAACGCGATCTGCCCTGGGTATGTGCCTAACACATTGTCACTTGAATCACGGCTTACTCCCTCAACAGGATGTTCCCCACAAAGATGACAGCCTTCGGATTTAAGAACGCAGGTGAGGAAAAGATCGCATCCCAACACCCCATGGGTCGTGTTGGCCGCCCTTCGGACCTCGCTGGTCTCGCACTTTTCCTTGCGTCTCCTGCGAGTGCGCATGTCACAGGCGCACATATCCTTCTGGACGGTGGTTCAACATTGTCAAATCAAGGGATTGCACCGAGGGTTAAACTATGATTTATCACTGCATAGGACGCTTCATTTGTATAATTCTCGATTGTGCATTCTGCGCCCGAATCTCGTATTTAACATTATTGCTACAGCCGCAGTACAAATCCAGTTGTCCATGAAGTCCTTGTTGTCCATGACCAAACCAAGCGGAACAGCCAGAACGGGGTATGATTCCAAAGTTGCAAAGAGTCCCCGACGCAAAACCAAGCAAGCTCAAGATCCAGATATTTCATTGCCTTCGATCGTTGTGTCACTGGACGACTTCCCGGTGGGTCCCGACCAGCCTATTCCGCGCCACTTCCCCAGAGCTGCCTGTTCCAAGACCGCACGGTACATCACAGAGCTGAATCCCACACACTGCAGTCCGATACACGCAACACGAAGGGCGCCGACAGCATACAACTGTGCAGTCTCGTAGAGGTTCTGGGGCGAGAGGTTTTTTCGGCCCGCTAGAGTCTCCTTGATAAGGGTTTGTGTCGTCTAAGTCCAAGTCATGATGATAGAAATAATGCAAAATGATCTTGCTTCACCTCGGTTGAAAGAGCCTCCCACTCTTCTGTGGTCAGATCGTCCATGCGAAAAGCCTTGTATACACCAGCATAGTACCACTTCCCGTCCTTGTTGTAGAAGCACTCTAACCAGAACGAGAGCGACATCAACAAATGAGTTCAAATGAGAGACAACAAACCGGTAGGCCTGTCCATGGTGCCGATTACATCCACCGCAGTCCATCGATGTGCTGTTGTTACTCGGGGATTGGTGCTACACTTGAAAACGGGAGTGAGCGAATATCCATGTTCTTCGCGCTCTGGGCACCAGTATGTTGTCAGTTGGCCGAGGACACGATAGTTCGACAAGCTAGGAAAAGACATCCATCACCCAAGAGCTTCATGCGTGAGCTCTATACTGTCTTACGAGCTTTTGAGTGTCTGTATCGGACGTGAATAGACTTCACGCGATATAAATAGGGCACTAACACCAGAAGCATTGCCCAAGAATTCATGCAAGGTGTATGGCTGAGGGATGAGAATTGGGTTTAGAGCATCATCTGGGATGTCAGCAGGTAGAGGAAGCGTCGCAAGAAGTGCTTGTCTTGCAAGAATCAATTTCTCGGGTCCATCGCCGAGCGGCAGTGCTTCGACAATATTCTAAGGATCAAATTCCTTTGACTCGGTATAAGACAGCGCATATATCAACTTACCGGATGGTGGAAGTCGGCGGTTTCAGAGCGGCGTGGATCAGAATAATTTTCGAGACGTGCGCAATAGTTTGATTGGAAAGACGGACTGAACGAATTGGAATCACACTGGCTTTCTGGGCGGAAATCTAGCGGTGGCAACCCTGTGGAAGGTCCGTTCGGAGCGTCCTGGAAAATATATATCATCGATTAGATTCCGCGTCAGTCAAAATGCTCCGTCGTACAAGAGGAAAGTCCTGAGCGGATGTATCACCGTCCTCCACGTATCCTTCTCTCGGAGCTGGTTGTGGAATATCAAATGAGGTGGCAGTGTATTGCACCGGAAGTTGCGTAGACGAATCATCATCCCTCACCACGGATGTGGCAGGGGTAGAAGGGCGCCTCAGATTGTCTAGTTCACACTGAAGTCGATCAATCGTTGCTGACTTTTGCCGAACAGATATGTAAGCGTCTTCGAGGCGTTCGACAACGGTGTCTCTGGCAGCTATAACTTCCGCCACACGCATTCTTTCCATTTGTATTATGAGGGCCAATCCAGCAGCATTGGATGAATCCTAAAATGAACGGATAAGAACAGGAGATTTGGATTGAGTCAGCGTTCGAAACAATGGGTTCTCAAGCACGATTTGGAGGTCACCATTCGTTGTGCAAGCTCGGTTGGGGTATTGCAAGTTCCTACATGATGGTTGTAAGAGAAAAAATGGTGTGTATCTGAAGCGTTCTGTATCCCCTGATCGCTAAATGACATTATGGTTGGCAACAAGCGGTGCTTATGTTCTGATTCATTCTCTGCTGAGGTTGTGCTGGGTTTGAATTCTTCACGTGATTTTGGATAGTGCCGCATCCCTAGGTCACTATATATGTCGCCCTCACACTCGAAGCGGTGGCTGGGAAGGAGCCTGAGGAAATGTACGACTAACGTTTCCCTTTCGCGTCTTTCCTCCATCTCTCGCGTCCACCGTATTTCTGCATACAAACCACATCCATGAGCAGTCGAGTCTCATCATAATATGCACTAGATTTTTGACAGTAAGTAGAGGACCTCTCTCTTGTCCATCAACGGGGGGTGATGGGTACTGTCCTTTTGCAGACGGTTGGCCATCGAGCGGGTCAGCACGAAATGATTTGCAAGGTAGGTCGGGCGGTCATGTCTGCTTGTCACAGATGTACTAGGCCCGAATTTCAGGGAACATCGATCGATCTGCCCAGCGCCGTGACACTTTCCTACATTAGGTGCGAAACGCATAATTTTTCAAGTCCTCACCGTCGTTTAGCCCAATCGTGAGTGAATCTTGTTTCTGTCATTCCGGAGTAATCATTTTCTCATCTTGCTTATTTGTTTGCAGAGGACGAGATTTTTTTTGGTAGTGCAACTGTCGAGCCAGGCAAAACTGTGCAGCATTTTTACCTGGCCCTTTAATTGCGCGGATAACAGTCACTGGGTGCGTTCAACCGGCAGGCCTGCCGATATCCTCATACGAAAGCTCACACTCAAAAGGCACAGGTAAGAAACAGGAGAGCAACCGATAACTGACTGCATCTAGAGAGCATGGTGAATATTGATTTCGATGTGAAACCCCGTTCTCCCGAAGTCGCCTCAAGACGATCAAACTTCTGCGACACCACCACGACAGCAAATTAAAGCTGCCTGCACAAGTTGAAAAGAAGCTCGGCGGCGGGGATCGATAGCCTGACATTGCCGACGCGGTCGGATTCCTCGATATTCCAGCAATTTTCATATCGATGGGCCGGGATTTGGAAATTTTGTTTAAGCGCCTCTGTTTACCTGTGATGCGTTGTAACAAAGGTTCCACCTGCTGTAAGTAGATGAGGTCTCCACAGGTCTTTGGACAACGAAGCCTTTGAGTTGCAAGAGCCGAAGCACGCGGTTTGACAATTCGATGGCTTGATCCTGTCTAGTACTTGTGCTGTGACCTTCAAGCTCCTGCCACGTGCGGGCACGTCGGCCCATTGCTGTTTCCCAGGCTTTGGTGTGTATCGATTACGGTCACAGTTGGCGTTGCACACTCCCAAATGTAACACGTTCTAACACGCTACCGAGGCATTCTATTTGGTACCGAAATAAAAGCGCGTTTAGTTATTTGTCATTCAGGCCTTCACTACCATCGGATTGTTTATCCGCCGACTATGTGATTCTGCCTATGGTACTGATCTACCGGCCGCAATCATTCTGATAGAACTGCCAAGTGCTTCATGATTTATAGGATATATAAGCAAGCCGTCGACTATTCTTATTGCCAGTATCAGAGCTATCATTCGAGATCCCTCCACGTATCCCAAATTACATAGCACAAGACATGCGTTCCTCATTCCTCCTCACTGTTGTTGCTGCTTTGACAACATCTGTCTGTCAGTGGCCGCGGTGCATGCGCAGATGAGTATAATCCATCCGCTTTGGATCCGGCATTCAACTCCCTTGCGCCTTGTACCAATAGGTTCTCAGCGGCGGAACAGACACGTACTGCCAGCCAAGTTAACAACATAGACTTGTTGTATATCTTATCTCGTGTTCAAAAACGATGTGTAGAACGATGTGTTGCAATGTCATTGATACGCTAACAATACATTAATTTGACTAAGCTCTTAATCATTGCCGTTCTTGCAAGATACTCGTGAATGTATGCAATGACTTAACAGCACGATATTCCTTATACATCATGGTGCATCAGGTGGAAGGGTAAGGGGATGTCAACTGTATCTTCGAAACGAGTAACCGCAGATCTAGGGATATGAACAGCGTGCTCGACGGTCCAATCCAATATTTTCTCGTAGTTCCTGCATTGGTGGCGGGTGTTGAAGTCAGGGTATGGGATTTTGTGTCCCTGAACCCAGTCCCATGTTATCATCGTCACGTCGGCATTGCACATGATATTCTGCCTGATCATTTCAATGCAATGATCTGTGATTTATACGATAAGCAGGAGGTGCATCAATAAAAAAGCATATGTACCAAGATGCATGCGGACTACTTCTGGCGTGTCCTGGAACGAAATATCTGTTGGTCTGTAATACTCAGGCCACGAGGCTTTGCGAAGTAAATTCTACAAAACGTGAGGCAAGAACGACTAGACTTTCGGTATAGTATAGCTTACCAGACAATGGAGTTGGTGGGGGACTTCCATGGATGCCATGAAACCCCCTCCAAATTCGGCTGGATATTTGACCTTGGAAGGTGAATCGACTTCGCCGGCTTTGAGAATATCCTCAAGCGACACTCGAGTTGGTAGCACTAAGGTTTGATGGACGGAACAATTACTAAATAGCACGACGGGAAAAAATTGGGCGAGGCACCATCGCGAGCTATCCTGGCCCAAGCGGCATCAATTTCTGGAGAAGGAGAGCCACGATAAATAGAAGGAAAGTCGAGGGTTCCATTGAATTTTACGACCGTGGAGTCAACAGCACTACTTGCTGGAGCTGTGACAGATCATCAATACTATGTCTTAACTATCCGAAGATGTCTGTTAACTCACAGTATATAGGAATGTCATCATGCAGGTGGGGCGAAGGCGTGCCCATCCATAGCGCGAAAAAGAGCATCGATGTGCATATCAACGCGCCGTGGCTCAACATAGGCCACACGCGAAGGATATGCAGCTTGGGACGAGGTTCTGCACGGAACCTTTCTGGATCATCAAATGATTTCTCCTCATTATCATTGTCAGCAGAATCGACAGGAAAGTACTGCGAGGAATGTTTGACCATGAGCCTGGGGGAACTCCGTTTGCTGAACTCGGGGGTTGTAGGGATAGTCAGGAACTTGCGAGGGTAGATGCGATACATATTTCGAGAAATATTTGGGAGTGGATTGATTTTGAATATGTCCCCCAATCGGCTGTGTCTCAGATGTGTTAGGTTACGGTACAGCAGTCCCGTCTGTGCGAGAGTTACATGTCCCAGGGCCAGGGAAGCGCTGGAAGGGAGGGAGTATTCAATGGGGAAGCACAGGCTGGGGATCAGAGAACCATTCCAAGCTTGAAGGAAAAGCCTGAGATGTGTTTGATCGAAAGAAGTCCTGCAGGGACCCTCAGGCTGCGAGAACCAGCTGTGTGAACATATGTAAATCAGTGGCACGACAGTGTATACTTACCGTTAATTACTGAGCGCTGGAAATCTCTAGATTGGCAATTCAAATCGGACGGTGTCTCTGCCAATTTATGTAATTTGATCAGCATGATTTGTGACAACTTACATAAACCTGAAGGGGCCATTTAAATTTGCAGAACGCGCTAACACATGCAACAGCGGTGTTTGAATTTCAGTGTCCGATCGAATACCGTGCGGCAGAGTGAATCGAAGTTAGTTGTAGTACTTGCGCTAGCTACGCTCGAGTCGTTGCCCTTCGCAAAATCAGCATATATGCTCGGTGTTTCATATTACGAAGTCAACCGAATTCCTACTGTGTCCCACGTTTTTGAAGCGAAGCCTCAAAGTCACTTCACTTTGATGGCAAAATTATAACGCTACTGAATGGGCCCTCTCACGGCCTCATGAAATTCGGAGGCACTGTGGCCGTACTAGTACGAGAAGAACTTCCGAGGACAAGCAATCTCCAGATCGATACTCAATGGCTCCACCAGTAAATCCCCTCTATGTACTTAGGTCCTGGCTTCGGACAACTTGCCCACAAGTACGACTTGTGTTTCAAGTACATCCTGAGTACTTGTCTTGAGACCCTACTAACTTCAAGTCTTTTTCTTTCGCCAGCTATGTATAAGGAATATTCTGCATCGTATTCTCCTGTTAACGGAGTCGACGGTTGTAATCTTCTTGATAGCAATACAGAAACAATATCTCCTCCAAAATCCCGTCTCCTTCGCTGGTCGCCATGGCTAAGCCATGGTGTGCTGATGTCTATAACGATGATGTTCTTCGTGCTATGGGCGCGGGCGCCGTCAATCGATGACATAGTTCTGTACTGTAGGTGGACAGATAACGTCAGCGTACAGGACGTTACTTACTTGTCATAGCTCCAGCAAACGAGGCGATTGAATCCATCGGCATCATAATATTCAATGGAACTCTGGGCACCCCTTCTATATATCGTGGCAGCCCGTCGCCAGAAATCGACGCCGCTTGGAATAGGATATCTCTTGATGGTTGCACCCTATGCTTCACTTCCATCATAGACATTTACTGACTATATTTTCCAGTGCGTCCAGTTCGTATGACGCTTGAGCAACTGCTCAGAACTGGGGAGAAACCTTCTCCCACCATGGTTAGGTATCCGGACGAATATGGTGGAGGTTACATGGCAACGGTAGAGGTCATTCATCAGCTCCATTGCGTAGTCAGTTGTAATACAGGAAGGCTGGTCGAACTTTACTCACTCCCCTGTAGGACATGCTTCGCAGAGTCAGCTGGGGTGATTATAATAATTCCTCAAGTCATAACACCCACGAATCCCCCGAAAGCTTCCGCATTCATCTCGGTAGGTACACTGTTTCCTGCCTGGCACGCATCCTGCTTATTAATATGTTGTATCTCAGACCATTGCATCGAAATGCTCAGGCAGATTATTATGTGTCGTGGCGACGTGACAATGCTCACTTACGACTGGGTGAAGGGAGTGAAAGATCCTTTTCCTAACTTCAACATTCCTCACCGATGCAGAAACTTTGAGAAGGTCTTGGATTGGGTTGATGAGCATCGTGTTTTTGTCCCTAAATCCAAAGTGGTCCGCTTGGAGGATAACGTGGACCTGTCTTCCCCTCCTTGATTGCAGTCTCGATATATTCTCTCCAAATGATGGCTCTCGCGTAGATCACAATATGACGAATGTAGCCCACTTACGAATGTCCTTGAACATGTTGCAAAGCTGAATTATCTCTGCTAAATAAATTGATGATACCATTTGCCAAATACATGACAGTGTATCTTCAAGTCGCATTTTGATACAGTTTTCCCTAGTAGACAGGCTAACCGAATGAATGTCCCGTACTAAATTCAGGTAGCTACTGGAGCGAGGCGCTCCAGCAGGACGGATCAGGTCGGGAGTGCCAGGGTCCTGGCGCAGGAGCAGGAGTCCTGGCTCGTAGTCGGTAGTCCTGCGGGTGTCGTAGTCGGTCCTCGATAGATAGAGCCGCCTCCTCCCGCCATAGAGGTTTGGCCTGTGTTTCCCTTGCAGTCCGTGCCCGATCCACTACTACGCTGGTAATGCGCAGTAACAAGATATGGAATGGACTCATCGGAGCATCCCTTCTACTAATATTTTGAATTAGGAACTGCCATACTGAAAGCAACTTATCACCGAGGCATAGTAAAGAACCAAAGAGAAGGCAACCGTGGCATCATCCAAACATCATCTATACCCGGGTCTGTAGAAAGGGGGAGAATATAATACTACTTATCATGACTCAGGGGAGTTTGGCCGCAATTCGGATTCGAATTTAGGATCAACTGATCTTCTCGCGATGAGGCTTAGAGCAGACAGGGGAAGGAGCTATGAGAGAATTTATTGTCTATGTCTTTAGGTCCTGGCTTTCAACATGGTCTTCGAATTGTTAATTTGTGAATGCGAATTACAAGAGTGCCCCCTTTTATCAAGTACTTTCTCCCATGAGGAGACCTACCCTATGTACTGAGCTGATTCAAAGATGCATCGATGATAATTCAGGGTTGATTGTCTTGCCTCGTTGTGATTGTGGGCGTTGAGTGATTTTTGAACGTGACTGACTCAGATAATTACCGTTCACTTAGAACAATCCCTTACAAAAGTTCTGAGTGGATAAGGCTTCAGCCAATTCAAGTGACCCGAGTCATGAGCGGACCTACGACGTAACAAAAAGGTATAAAGTCCTCTTGAAGATTCCAATGTAGTGCATTGACGAAATACTAGTCATTCTAACCTCTTAACTCAAACATGAAGCTTTCTCTTGTCTTCAGCGCGCTCGCATCCATCGTAGGTCTTACTACGGCGTACCCCACGCACGGGACTATTGCGAAACGTTCCTGTGAGTATCCATGCATGACTCATCACCACGCCGAGGTTGATATGTATAACTTGCTGCCAGATGTGGAGAAGCGCGCCGACCTGCTACCAAATGTGGATAAGCGCGAAGAACTTGACACCGATCTCTTCTTATACAACGAGTACGTTGCCAAGAGGGATGAGGAGAAGCGCGAGGAACTTGACACAGATCTCTTCTTATACAACGAGTACGTTGCCAAGAGGGATGAGGAGAAGCGCGAGGAACTTGACACAGATCTCTTCTTATACAATGAGTACTGAACTTGATGCCGGGTTTTACGCAGGTGAGTTATAGCCGTATGTCTTATTTAATGTGGGAGTCATCCATCGTACTAGGTCTGGCATCGCTACCTCCTCATCCACAAGTCACTTCCCTGTACATCTACATAGTATCTTGACTCCTTTTTCCGATTGCTTTATTGCATGTCCGTGTAGTACAATTCCTTGCCGCTAAGCTATCATCTGGTGACAATGTTAGGGTTCGGGGAGCTAGGAATCCCGCTCTGGTTGAAGCACGACCTTCTATTAGTAAGAGTGCCTAGTGACAGGGGTAAATGATCTTAAATTGAAGGAACCGCAAAAGGTCCGAATGATAACAGGTGACCATGAACTGAGGCGGGACCGAAACACCAAGCATATATACTGATTTTGCGAAGTGAAACGAAGCGCAAGTACTTGAACTAACTTCGATTCACTTCAGTAACCAGTTGACTCCGCCTACACGGTATCCAATTGGACATTGAAATTCAAACACCGCTGTTGTATGTTTTTGCGTTTTCAAGGCCTAGCGTTCTGCAAATGACAACTAGTCTTGAAAATTAATGAGAGACTTCGTACTAGTTATCCAGGTTCAGGTTTACAAACTTAAGTTGTCATAAATCATGCTGATCAAATTAAATTGGCAGTACGACACCGTCCGATTTGAATTGCCAATCTGGAGATCTCCAGCGCTTAGTTAACGGTAAGTATACACCCTCGTGCCGCTGATCTCCATATCTCCACCCAGGTTCTCGCAGGGTCCCTGGACTTCTTTCGATCAAACACATCTCAGGCTTCTCATTCCTCGGAATGGTGCTCTGGTCCTTCCCCATTGAATACTCCCTCCCTTCCAGCGCTCTGCTGGGGCGTGTGACTCTCGCACAGACGGGACTGCTGTACCGTAACCTAACACATCTGAGACGCAGCCGATTGGGGGACATATTCGAAATCAATACACTCCTAAATATTTCTTGAAATTTATATCGCATCTACCCTCGCAAGTTCCTAACTATCCCTACAACCCCCGAGTTCAGCAAACGGAGTTCCCCCAGGCTCATGGTCAAACATTCCTCGCAGTACTTTCCTGTCGATTCTGCTGACAATGATAATGAGGAGAAATCATTTGATGATCCAGAAAGGTTCCGTGCAGAACCTCGTCCCAAGTTATATATCCTTCGCGTGTGGCCTATGTTGAGCCACGGCGCGTTGATATGCACATCGATGCTCTTTTTCGCGCTATGGATGGGCACGCCTTCGCCCCACCTGCATGATGACATTCCTATATACTGTGAGTTAACAGACATCTTCGGATAGTTAAGACATAGTATTGATGATCTGTCACAGCTCCAGCAAGTAGTGCTGTTGACTCCACGGTCGTAAAATTCAATGGAACCCTCGACTTTCCTTCTATTTATCGTGGCTCTCCTTCTCCAGAAATTGATGCCGCTTGGAACAGGATAGCTCACGGTCGTATGTCGTCCAACTTTTTCCCATCATCCTAATTAGTAATTGTTCACATCCACGAAACTCAGTGGTACCAACTCGAATGTCGCTCGAGGATATTCTCAAAGCCGGCGAAGTAGATTCACCTTCCAAAGTCAGATATCCAGCCGAATTTGGCGGGGGTTTCATGGTCACCGTGGAAGCTTATCATCAACTCCATTGTCTAGTAAGCTATACCACACCGAAAGTCTAGTCGTTCTTGCCTCACGCTTTGTAGAATTTACTTCGCAAAGCCTCGTGGCCCGAGTATTATGTACCCACAGACCCGCCCGAAGTAGTCCGCATGCATTTTGGTACATCCGCTTTTTTATCGGTGCACCACCTGCTTATCGTATACATTGCAGATCATTGCATTGAAATGATCAGGCAGAATATCATGTGCAATGCCGACGTGACGATGATAACATGGGACTGGGTTCAGGAACACAAAATCCCATACCCTAACTTCAACACCCGCCACCAATGCAGGAACTACGAGAAAATCTTGGATTGGGCTGTCAAGCACGCTGTTCATATCCCTGAATCGGCGGTTACTCGTTTGGAAGATACAGTTGACATCCCCTTACCCTTCCACCTGATGCACCATGATGTATAAGGAATATCGTGCTGCTTACCCGCTACATACATTCACGAGTATCTTGCAAGAACGGCAATGATTAGAATCTTAGTCGAATCAATGTATTGTTAGTGTATCAATGACATTGGAACACATCGTTTCGGTCACGGGATGTAATGTTTGTGCAAGCCTGTTTGGTATGAAGCTTTGAAGTGTCGTGCATCTTCCTTTTTCTCTCTGCTGCCAGCCCTGGTCAATTCTTTAGTGCCGGTTATGTACCCGTACTCACTAAATGGCCAATTCTTTCAGCATCTAGGTCTTTGTTGTTGTTTGAGTCACCTTGCCGATTCTGAGACGTCTGATAGCGAAGCCACAAAGGACGGTAATGATTCAACAAGATTGACACGGCTATAACTTACTTCCATGGGACACCAGTAGTTGCGAGTCACCAGAGCCTAGCTGCAGACTTCCCTGATGCTGCCAAGGCGGTCGAAACGATACTTCTTTTAAGATGCTCCTCTGCATGTGCTACGTCCGGCTTTACTGAGTGTCTTTACGCCCTCCAAATAGATCTGGTCTCATTGCTGCCTCCCTTCCTGCCCATCCACATCTTGCCGTCCGAGTCATTCATCACACCACGATGTTCATAGTCCCTCAGAGTCAAGCCCTAGTTGTCTGCACTGCCTTCGTCGTCTCACATTTTTCGTACTTGCAACGTACTTATGCATGTAGTTTGAACCTTGACTAGGACTTACCACACTTTTGATCATGTTACTATTATCCTTGAATACATCGAGCGCGTTACCTGGATTAATATATATGAAATTTTGATCAAAGCATGACGAGAAAAGGATTCTATCTATACCGCAGAACACCTACGAATGTGCGAGATGATCCTCTGAACCCTCACCAATGCCCCTCTCAAACCTCGCAGACAGTCCTCTCGAACCTCGTTGCATGTTGCTCCCGGGCCTCGTGGACTCGTGGGACATACACTAAAGGCCGCCGGCTACACAGGTATTCTTCAGTTCACAGAAGATAAGGGTCACGCACCTCGAGAGGAATTTGGCTGAAGTTTGAACAATGGGTGGGAGGTTCTTGCAGGAGGGACGTCTTGAAGATAGGTTATTGCATACCCGCGGCCAGGAAACCGAAAGACCGTGGGAAGCTCTAAAAATGCCAAGGGGTGTATGATATCCCAATCTTTGAAGTTCATACGTTGACGGTTCATGCATGTTCTACCTGGTAGGCTCAGAGTAGGCCGCTGTTCGCTGTCGCTTTTGCTTTTGCTGTCACGGTTGCCGCACGTGAGCGTCAAGGGTTAGCAGTTGTTATATAATTGTTATATAAGCAAGTCACCCCTGTCCTGAACCTTTTCATGATCATTCTGGCTAAACCTCGTCACAATAATCATCCTACCGACACTCTAAACCTTGCCATTCAGCCCTTTAAACCTACATCTCTCAATACCTAACCATTAAGATATTTATTCAGTCATGTCTCCTCACATATGATAAATATCATGTATATTAAATCAATATTAAACCCGCAATAGGGTATTTTAAATCCCGCGTCTCAGAAACACATATGAGCATCATAAATGAGGGTTGTGTATGATAAGGTTCAAGTACAAAGAGGGCTGGGGAGGGCAATGAGAAGGTTGGGGAGACTGCAGGAAGATTGTATGATAAGGTTTAGGCAAGCACTGACTTGCCGGAAATAGTAGTTTGAGTTTAAATTATTTTGCTGCTGCTTGTAAATATATCTTTTCACTCACGTGCGGCGACAGCGAACTTGAAAGCGAAAGCGACAGCGGACAGCGGCCTACTCTGAGCCTACCTATCGTTCATCCCCTGACCCTGTGGTTCTACATATGATACTCTCCCTAAAGTCCGCCAGCTGTAACCAACCATTCTGATGGAACTACCGAGTGCTTCTCCAAAACTCATCTTCCTATTGCCAACATCAGAGCTATTATTTGAGATCCGCCAACGGCAGACACACCCCGGCACAAGTCATGCGTTTCTCATTCCATCTCGCTGTTGTCGCTGCTTTGATAACATCTATGTCTGTCAGTGCGTACTAATACGTAGGCAATTTTAAACGGGGTCAGTGGTTCGAGCAGCGCGTCCAACGACGCATGCTGCTCACGCCTTACTTGTGAGGCGGGTGTAAGTATGAGTTGTTCACTTTGCACCCGGAGTTCAACTTCATGACTCGCCTATGGCGCCTGTACTAATATGAATTCGCCTCAATCCTTAACCCTCTCGGACGAGCTTGGCAGACTGAGTATGTAGCAAGTGTGAGTCGTGTTACTTCCGCCTTAGTATAGTGGTTGATCGCACGATATGCAGTTCGTTGCGGAGTTGAAGGATGATGAGCTTACTTTTCAACAAATTCCCCCGCTGCCTCGACCAGACTCTTGAATACAATCACTGTGGCATTGATAAATGTCACTCATGCTATTTTTGCATGGATGTACAAGAAAACCGGTGTATCCAGCCGACATAGAAGTGCCTGTACATATATGTCCTTGAAGATCGTCCAGAAGGAAGAAGGGGTTAGTGTCGAGGACACTCGAACTTCGTCATTCTGCCAGACACTGCTCCGTAAGTCGCATATCTGATATAAGACAGGTATCTATCGACCTTTAAGTTCGTATCTTGGAACGGGCGATCCAAAGTATCTGCATTTTTAGAGATCAACGATAGTGTCATCCAAGGCTGTGATGAAGCTATCCTCCAGACCTACCGGAGGCCATAGTGATCGTGTGTGTAATTCTGTTGGAATTAATCTCAATACTTATTCTACTGCTTACATCACCTTCAGATTGCGTGAGGTGCCAGCCTGAACGCACTCCATATATCCTCGATGTTGAACAGTTTGGACTGATCTATAGTCAGTCGAGTGCAATGCACTTTAAAGGTATGCTAAGTGAAATATAGACTTATCGTAAATCTTATCGCGTGTTCACAAGCTATGAGATGTCGAGAAACATCAAACACGATGCAGGATGCATTCTTCTGGTCGGCATGCGGCAAGTGTGCCCGATAGTCGGTCGGTGGTTGTATATTCTGCCTTTGTTATGCAAATGGGGCGACATCAATGCCAGGTAAATGACCAAGGCATTCACTAACACTTGCATTGGTTGTGAACTTTGAAATTGTGGATGTGGGCGATCACGGTGTGTCCACAGACAAGGCATTCACTGACGCTTGCAGTGGTTGTGAACTTTGAAGTTGTAGATGTGGGCGATCACGATGTGTCCACAGTGGTCCAACCTATATAGATTGCAGCGTGGATCCCCTACATCTCTAGACAGTCGACCTCTTAACATTCTTTGCAACTCTCCACCCGTTTTTCCTCGTATTAATTATGGGTTCCCTCAAAAAATGGTTCCAAAAGTGAGTCGACTGTTTTCAGGCTATGCCCATCGTCATAATGCTAATCAATACCCCTCAGGCACCATGGCGACAAAAAGCCATCGCTTAAGCACTCTAAGTCGATGCCATTTAGAGTCTCACAAGCGAGCATGCTAGAGCCTTGTGCCGATCCTTTCAAAGCTATATACCATGGCAAGACCCCGCTTAAAAATTCCGACATCACGTACGTCGAGCACGCTCCAGGGATGCTGGACATCCATCGCGCGCAGTGGTACCAAGATGTCCACGACCATCCGCCAAGTCGTGCCCGCTTCGACACGTACGCCGAGGACCAGTTTCCCAATCCCTCCCCACCCCCTCCGAGGCCCACCCGCAACGCCTTGAGAACGACTTCGTTGAACTCAAAGAGCATTAGGCCCCAACTGCCCCTACAGAACTGCAGCACAAGCCATCAACATGTCACAGGTAGACAAAGAACTATTCAGGAGTCTTCTTCAGCCACAGCACACCCCTCTCTTGCCTGCAAACAGCGGCGTAAGGCCACCGCTGATCAAGCTATGGCAGATCTGCTGAAAACAGGTGACGGCCGGCCTCCCGTATTTGGGAGCAGTAGACAAGCAGAACGCGTGCGCGCCAAGTCGAGCGCTGGTCGCTCATACACCCCTGTCTCTCCCGCCCCTCCCGTCCCGACCATCCCGCACCATGCGCACAGCTCACACACAAACCTGAATCGTTCCGGATATTGGTTCTGATTGGTCTTGGCAGGCGGTATATCGGTGAATCTGTGCAGATGGAGGTTAGTTTGTGAAGATAAAGTCTTGGAGCTGGTCTACCTAATCATGTATATCATTATGGATATGAATATGATTTATGCAAAGAATATCATTTGCTATTTGAGACCATGGTCAACTTGGCGCATCTCAGAGTGTAAATGCTACGATTTACATGATAGTTTTTTAGTGCAGTCGATTATATTACCATTCGGCAGATATCATTCGCCATCAGTGCAAGCTTCCATAACCAAATTACTTGCGCTTCCCGTTGTAAATCAACTCTTCGAAGGATAATCGCTTTTTGTCAGGGCCGCCTTGTTCATTACCACCATGGGCCTCACCCATCTCACCCGCCCTAAATTCAAGTTCATTGTAAGTGCACAGTGAATCCCAGCCAGGCCCTTTCCGTAGCTTAGTCAGCTAGTACTAGAGATCGCGGGCGTGTATCCTGCATTTGACCTGCTCGCCAGACTTCAGAAGTTCAAGCCACTGGACCCTGTCGGGCCTGTCCATCAGTGCACAATTACACATACAACGCGACACTTCAATAATTCTCTGGGAAGGATAGTGGGATATTTCACACAATATTTCTGAATCATATCCTCTTCTCCCAAGAGCCTATATCCGAGTCTTTGCATCTCCAACTCATCTAGACCTAGTGCTGCTTATTGTGCTATGATACATGTTCCACCTATCACTGTGTCACGATTGAACGCGTAGGTCTATTTCCTTCCCTTATTAATTTGATAAACCTCAAATGTTTCGCCTGCCCAGAAATTAATTTCGTTCGCAACGCCTGTTTTCCTGAGAATGGCAGCCAGGAATGCTGCGTTAATCATGAAGCACGTCTAATGCATGAGAGGACTGGTCTCGGCTTCGACTTCAACATCTAGTTGAGTAATTATCATAGCATACAGTGAGTTGGGGTCATTCTCATTGTTGTCCTCTTTAATCAACATTCCAGCATGAACGTATACAGTTTATTCCCCGGACTAAGCGACGTGGCGAAACGTGACATTAGCTATGCACTAAAGCACCATGGTCTGGCGAGCAATGGTTTCAGGGCCGTCACATCCTTTTGAAGGACTTCCATCATGGAGCCCCCGTACTTGTGTGCCAGATGAATGCGCACCGCCCGTCGCATTCCCGTCCGCCTCCTCAAAGTTGGAATGCCTTTGTAAATCCTGGATGACTTTTAAACGACAAGCTAAATAACTAAGATCATAGATATGTAATATTTATGGGACGTATGTAATATTTATGGGACGTTAAATGTTCCTATGCGCTGCTATGAAGCTCGGATTGATCTAACCAAAAGAAACGTCAGGAGGAGCCTCGAGAATCCTTCCCTTCTCTTTCTTTCTGACCACCCACCCATCCCAACCTATCCTCGTATTTCGATACATCCTTGCGTCGAATACCTTCCCCGCAAGAACAAAACCGACGTCATCCACTCTGTCTATGACTTTGGCGACGATTAGCGCTGTAGCTATGGGTGCCCATTCTCCCGCGACGCAGCTTAGCCCGCCGTGTCCGAAAGCAAGTAGTTGCATATCGACTGGACGTTGGAAGCGCATCGCATCGAAGGTCTCTAGACGCATGCCATATACACACGAGCGATGAACAGCTCCGATGTCAGCTACCTCTTGTGCGGGATAAAACAGACGCTTCCACAAGGGGTGTCTGCTTTTGCGCGCAATGCGCTGAATGGGTGGGTGCAACCTCAGGACTTCATTGATGATGGCTTCTACACTCGGTCGAGTGTTCTTAACTTTGAAAGAACGGAATTGCTTCTGGGTGGGATTCTCACTGAAATCCAGGAAGGCATTGTGCATGTGTTGATTACCATTTGCGTAGGCCAATGTGACAGCGGCTAGACGCCACATGGACTCATATGCGGGAAGAATGGTTTCCAGGGCTTGAGAGGCACGCTCCCCCCCGACCCATCTACAAACACGTTCCCTCATCGCGTGAAGTTCATCAGGATAAAGGGGAGTTCGTCGCGAGGTGCTATCCGAATGGCGGTTGAGTGCGTTTGTCATGAAGGCAACATCGACAGGGGAAAGGGTTCCAGGATCCACGCCATAAAACCCAGTAATTATGATGCAAAAAGTAACGCTTTGTATGAAAGCGGCGAAGTCGACCTCTCGGCTCGGAAGGAACATCTCTGTGCATTTCTGGGCACATTTCACAAATCTTTGCCACCCGGCACATTGCTGGGGGCTGACGGAGGCAATCAATGCTCTCGCGTTTTGTATGAAGCTGTCGTGCCCAGAGGGGTCGAGTATTGCACTCGAGGATGTTAGAGCGAAGTGTTCATGAGGATAGACGCGAGAACGGATCTCGACTTTATGTTCGGTGTTTCTTGGTCTCAGCACCGCCTTGACAGCGTCAGCTGTGCGGTGTGTCCGAGTGCGGGTGACATGACATGCCCCGAGAACGACGATGGCCAACGACCAAAAGGCTGCTGCTACTACTGCCATGGAAAACGCCATTCTGAGTGAGTTTTGCATTCACCAGTCTGTTTACACTGATTATATGTGAATGAGAGGATCACCCATACAGCACCCACGTGTTCAAACATCCGTCTGGTACGGCTACTGCCTGTAGTATTCAGGTTTGCCTCACCCGCAACGCAACGCAGCATATCGATGTATTGTGGATAACCTAGTGAAAAATACTTCCTAGTCTTTCTGATTGCAAAGCGAGGCCGTTGATATGCTCTACAAGCCGTTGATGAACTCTCTCTTTGCTCCAATCTAGTGGGCGGTCATAATGGCGCGTGATCCACTGACAATTCTGTAGTATAGCACGAATTAATCACATACAAACAACTACAGCTAGACACTTTCATGTCCGTCAATGAAGCCGAAGCTGGCTAGATGCGGAGACCGTACTGTTTCTGTTGTGTTGTCAGAGTTGTCAATTTCCGGAGTTGTTGCTGCCACCATCAACGGTCTTGTCCACACCAATCAAAAAAAGATGTGGCCGAGCGTGCCCAGCTTGGAGAATAGCCCACGAGAAAAAGTTGCAGGACATCGTGCCGTTATCCTCGTGACCTTCATTGATTCACTGCAGTAAGCATGCCATCGGAAGGCAAGCAGAACGGATTCTGACTGCTTGCATAGCCATATGCTCGCCACTTGCTGCTAGAATGGCGTTGGACTCAACATGTAATTAATGCGGGTGTACTGACGATATGAGCATGGAGGTGGCTGTTGCACATGTTAGGGTCGTGGTAGGTCGAGTGGCGCAGCCATGCGTCGCAGAACCTTGATTAATCAATGTGGTCTTCACTGCGAGCTTTAATAGCAGCCGGAGAGCTCATGCGCCCTTTGATTCGATCAGATACGTACGTATGTCTAATAAGAATAGTGCAACGCGTACTGCAGCAGATCAGCAAAGGGTCAACGTGCGTGACAACCAAGTGGGAGAACCGCTTCAATGCTGTATGTAAGTCGATTTTATCTCCAATGACCTCGGGCTTCTACCGTTGACCACGAGCGCTTCGCCTTTCCGAATTCAACAACTTTGCATACTTCACCCCCAACTCTCGGGTACTCTCATCCTGAGGGCGGGTGGCTGGGATACGGCGATATTCCACATCATCCTCGGCCTCCGAAGGAATCCTCAGCTCAAAACTAGCAGACCGTCTGTCTGCCACCCTCGTAGACACGTTCCGCAGACACCAATCAAGGGCCTTTTCTGTGCGCTCCTTAAGTGCGTAGGCTTCCTCCGACTGATAGAACGCCACAGGGAGGCGATAGCTGAGCCACAGATAGAGCACGAGCGATTTGTGGAGTCCCTCAAGATCTACGAGGCCCTGAGATGGTGCACTAGCAGAAGACTTGCCGCCGGACATCATCCCTTCCACATTCTCCAATGCTTCTATATAGGGGCCGACTCGGAGGGCGTGCAAGATAGGGACTCGGATCTTCTCGTTGTATATTTGACATAGGCGAGCTGTGAATTCCACCGCAAGGGGATCTCGCCAATTCATTGGTGAACCGCCGATGAGGAGTCTGTCATATAGCTTCATATGTTTGGCGTGGGTTTCGATGAACCGAGATCTTTCCTCAACCTTGGATGGAACGAAGGCACGGCAAGGGGGCCGAACGTTAGAGACATATGGAGCCACCTCTAATAACGTTCGATGCGAAGCATCAACGGGAAGTGCTTGAAGAACACTCTCAGCCCAAGCCAAGGTAGGAGAGACGCCTGCAAATATGATGGGATCTGGTTGGCGCAGAATCGCAGAGCGAAGCATTGGGAGATCATGTGCATGGAGAGTCGTGACAAAACCTCCAGGTTCACCATGCAGACCATAGCGTCCCGCACGCCCAGCAATTTGCTTAATTTGGGAAACTGATAGAGCGCGTTCGACAGTACCGTCGAATTTGTGCAAAGTTTCGAAGATGATGCGTTTGATTTTGCTAAGGCGAATGAGACGAGTGATACGATGAAGGGTGCAGGGTGCTCACAGATTAAGTCCCATGCCGATGGCATCACTTCCGATCATCACATCATAACCACTACGGGGGTTATTGAAGAGCGCCGCCTGTTCGGCACGGATCTCAGGTGGAAGTCGCCCATATGCAACAGCACAACGCAAGCCTGTATTCTCTTCTACTTTGCGCTTCAGCGCAAATATGCCGCTCCTCGAGAAAGCGACAAGACAGTCGCCCTTTTGAACTCTACTGAAATCTCCCTCCAAAGATTCGTCTTGAACAGTAAGAGGCGTCAAACGCTCGTAGCGGTTAATGAAAAGCTCGTCATCTGTGTCGTTTAGGAGCGCTTGGACAATTGGGACCGCAACTTCTTCGCCACATAGATGGAGTTCTTCGGCAGGCAGACCCAATACAGCAGCGGTCCATGCGGATCCACGGTCTGGGTCAGCAAGCATCTGGATCTCGTCCACGACTGCTACTTCCACCGGAAGACTAAGAGACGTCATCTCTACCGTGCAACTCACGAGACTGGCATATTCAGAAACGATCCTAAACTCCTCTCCAGTGCGAAGGTTGCACTCTCGTGCGTACTTTGCCTTCCCTTCTTTCCGCACGGTTGGTCTGGACACTGACTCTTCGATTATATCCATGTTCGTGGATGTGTCTGGCTCAGAGTCGGCGTCAGGGTCCATCCCGAGGGGCACGATCTGACCCTTATTGAGCCGATCCCAAATTTCATGTGCGAGTAGTCGCAGCGGGCCAGAGTAGACACCAGTCTTCGCCGCCGCCAGCGCACGTAGAGCCATGTGGGTCTTCCCACTGTTAGTAGGCCCAACGTGCATGATGACCTTGCGGCGCATTGAACGCGCTTTAGGATACATATCCGCAGGGTACGATATATCTGCGGTGGAGTATAGATATGATATTTGTTCCAGCGTATTCCGCGACACTGATTTCAAAAGAACCTCTTGTTGCTTGGGGTCGGACGCCCATGAGTAGAAAAGCTGAGTGAGAATTTGGTCTAGCCGGAGTCCTTGATTCAGTTCTTTGGATGTAAGAATAAATCTCTCCACGTGGTACTTTTTCTGCTCGATTGGGTTATGAAGGAGCCCGGAGCTGACCTCTCGGGCGAATAGTGAGAGAATGTGCTGGACGTCTGTGCGTGGTACCCCGAAGGACTCCAGGCGACGGTGAACGTGCGGAAGATTAGCCCATTTGTGGACCTGTTTCTCCATGATGAGGAGAGTGTCACTGGCATCCCGTACCGAGAAACCGTCCAGGATGTGACCCTTCTTTTGCTTCATAACATGCTGAGGGTTGGAACGACCACCATATCTGAAGCCACCACGTTGATTACCGGGAAAAGTTTGTGGAGGATAATACGAATTTCCTGGTCGTTGACGCGAGTCGTTGGAACGAAACCGACGGAAGTGGACTTGGCTTGCCTCCAACCAACTTTCAGATTTTATGCATCTCGAAAGGAGAAGACGACAGCGAGGTAGCATAACGATAGAAATTATCCAAAGAAAAAAAGTTGTGTTGAGCAGTCTACGCTGGCTCTATGAAGCCATTGAATAAAGTTGACCGTATAAAGGCGTCTTGGAAAAAAAGCGGTTGTTTGGTGATGTTAGGATCAGAAGGTTCACTTAAAATTGACTGGTCAAGTCGAGCTCACCATAGCTACACTAGCCATGGCAGCCGCAGCCGCCGCCATTCGTCCTATGCGACTTGCTTCGTTGACGCGGTCACGCTGCTCCATATTTCAAACTGCATATAACCCCACATCAGCACGTACTGGAGCCAAATACCTTCGCGCACGACTTCGCGGGCCTTCTATGGTCAAATACTACACTCCAGAAGCCAATATTGCACAGATCATGAGACAATGGCCTGAGTTGGAAATGAGAAACTTTGCAGAGGAGGAAAGACTGCAAGATGTGGAGGACAAAAAGAAGAGAGGGAAGGGTGCACCGAAGAAAGCCAAGGAGAAAGGTAAGTTGAGACTTTATGGCGCATTTGCACAATTAACGCCTCGTTTCAGGCGACAGTCGCAGAGCCAGCAGGAGGCGATAATGATGCATTTTTGTGTTTCGTTGGAGGAACTTATTATACCACACTCAAAATTAAATCATCACTGTGCATGTCAAAACTCCGTCTCCGCTCAACATGTCCCTTCAATGCCCGCAGGATCATTTACAGAACCGTCACAAGTACCCATCTCCGACAAAGTCACCGAGAAAAGGTCGTCGAAGCCCTGGAGAAAACCCGCATTCTGTAATGCAATCTGATAGTCCTCTCCACTTGTGTTCAGCCCTGTCATCCACTCCTCCAATCCAGCAGTACCTGTAACGAGAAGACTGCGTAACCTCGTTCGTTCTGTTTGACTTACAGGCGAGGACCGTATAGGTGGATCTCCGGGTTCGATTTCATCCACACGTATAATGAGGTCGACACCCTCTCCTGCAGCTGGATCCCATACTTGGTTCTTCAACGCTGCTGACCATGCTTGGTCAAGGTCATCCAAGAAATCCAGTAGCGTTTGAAGCTCCTTCATCTGTGGAGGATATCCTGGCACAGAAGTCATGACGTCGCCAGTGAGGCGAAGGAGGAAGACAGTTCGTAAGTGAGTGGAAGGGTCTATAGGTGGGATCTGCAAGATAAATGCCAGCAGTTTCTGCATAGCATCAAGATATGCAGTGAGAGTTGGAAGTTTCGTCATTGACGGTTCTAAGCTGTCCACAACTATCTCAGTACTTCCAGAGCTTCCGTAACACATTGACGGCCGACCGTTTCTTAAATGCACTGGTGATATCCATGAAAGAGTCTTCAACATACTCGACGGCTTTTCTTTCCTGAGCTTTGGAGAGCGCTTGTGGGATCTTTAAGCTTGGGGATCCATTCCGGACGTTCTCTTCAGCTTGCATCTTGAGTGCGAGGTCAGAAGGGGTTGCCTAAATCAATGCCAAACACATATCAACACACGCTCTTCCTGCCTGAACTGGCTTAGATCATTCCTAAAGGTAATTATCTTTCCATAGGATATGCCCGTCTTGCAAAGTTCGGCGCAGTACTGACTTCCATGACAGACTGGTGACTCCAGTTTCAACTGAAAATTATCGACCAAGCATGGCATCAATATCCAAGGCTGAGAAGGCCTACATCCAATCCTCCTTGCAATCCGATCCGCCATTACGAGCAGACGGCCGCGGTTTGATAGATTTTCGAACCATAGCCCTCGAGTCTGGAATTGCCCCAATCGCAAATGGCAGCGCACGCGTTAGCATCGGTAGAAACGCGCAGGATGGCGGTGGGGGCACTGAAGTCGTAGCCGCTGCAAAATTGGAAGTTGAGAGCATCGGCGATGGCGAAGGTGTAGATGGGGGACGAGTAGTCTGCTCTGTATCTTGGTACGACTTTCTTACTACACCTTCAAAAGAAAGACTGGACAACTTGGAATTATAGTTCTCCCACAGCATATCCTCTCCTTTCCCCAAATGCCCTGGATGACCTACAGCATGATATGACGTCCGTATTAAACGCTACCCTCTCTCATCCGACAATCCGACCAAAAAACCTCGGTATCTTACCTGGAATGAAATCTTGGTTGCTCAACCTTGATGTCATAGTGTTTTCTGACGCAGGGAACATATTCGACGCGATTTTCATGGCTGCACGCGCCGCTTTATGGGATACCAAGGTACCTAGAACAAAGAGCGTCCAATACCGCGCGAAGAAAAGCGATCGGAGTGATGCAACTCAGGCTATGGACATGGACGTGGATGAAACGGCCCATGTCGGCAGCGCACTAGACACGCGACAGACGATTCAAGTGGCTGACTTCGAGCTTCCTGACTACTGGGACGAGGGCGAACCCCTCGATGGAAGACAAACATGGCCAGTTTGCCTGACTCTCAATTTGGTTTGTTGTTTGTTTTGAGCTCAATCTCAATGGTACGTGATTGACATTTGAGCAGTTACCAACCTTGCATTTCCTCGATGCTACTCTACAAGAAGAAGCTTCTGTGCCTCTCAAGCTCCTCGTGTTTTACTCCTTCCCTTCAGATGTAACTCCACTGTTACGAGGCATGCGCTTGCTCGGGACAGGTGTGTCTGACCTCGTACAGGCCAAAAGCCTCTTGAAGGTAAGCACCCAACACGTATTTTTATCACCGCATTCCAATCCTTGCAGGATGGGGAGAAGTATGCTCGGAATGTGTGGGTCGCTCTTGAAGGAAAGCTCAAGGACGAAGACCTTAGACGCACCCAAAAAGCCAGAGAGAGATTTCTTAATAGATAAACTTGCAATCATATGGCATTCTCACAATGACTCTCGATGAAGTGGCGAATAGTAAGCGATGTCATGACTTCAAGTTTATGGTCGCTGCAGGACTGAATAGTAATTGGTACCTTCATGGCAATAGTGGTTCCGGGGATGGGGATCTTTGACCGTTGATGCATCTAGGCACTCGTGATTTGAAACCTGTCTGTCCATTTACAGGGAAGTTCAGTCCACAGGCATCGGACACGCGGTAGATTGAAGGCATAGACTGTCCTTCCTGAGAAATCGGACTCAGGTGGGGGACGTCACGCGTAACAGCTGAGCCACCAGCATGCCAATGAACTCAACACTCTGCCCTTCAGCCAGAGATCTTGAGCCAAAAATAGTTCTCACCAGCCGATCATGCTTCCTCCCAGTCTGCTGACCTGCACGAGACGCCCGAAATGTCCGGACATCATATTCCGGGTGCGATAACCCCGCGTACAGTGCTGGTCTGTTTTGTACGCGGGTTCTGTCAGCGTAACTAGCGAGCTGTACGAAGCAGATAAAAGGAGTAGGTTCGCGGTACACTTCTGCAGCAGTTACCCTCAACCAGCCTCGTCAAAGTAAAACCTCTCACCAACAACTAGTCATGAAATTCACATCGGCTGTCATCTCCCTCCTTGCTATCGCTCTTCCCGTGCTCGCTCAGACTGAGAGCCTTTCATATGATAACACTTACGATAATGCTGATCAGTCTCTCACCACCGTCGCCTGCTCAAATGGGCCTAACGGGCTCATGAACTATGGCTACACGACTCTTGGTCAATTGCCTAATTTCCCCAATATCGGTGGTGTCTACACTGTTACGGGATGGGATTCAGTTTACTGCGGAACATGTTACGAAGTGACGTACGGCAGCACGACAATTGCAATCCTTGCTGTTGATACTGCGAGTGAAGGGTTTAACGTTGCGGAGGCAGCGATGAATGAGCTTACTGGGAATCAGGCTGAGTTTTTGGGGAGGGTGACGGTGACTTCAGTTCAAGTAAATGCATCTGTGTGTGGCCTTTGAAGGTAAGCAGGTCGAGTTCCCTCATACATGGAAATCGATGCTCATTTGGTTTCCGTTGATAGACACCATTGGTTACTTGAATTCAGGTTCAAGGACACGTTTAACTTTCATACTTTTGGGTAATTGTGTCACTGTGGAACTGGACATTGATTATGTATGAAACTGCATATGGATGTTTGATTCAGCTTAAGATACATATACGTACCTATGGTAGTACAAATGAACATTTTCCCACCTAACCAGGCTAAAATCTATAGACCCAAGACCGAGTGAATGCAGCCTCGTACCGCTCTGCCAGTGAAGCAAATACCATAAGAGGTTCTTTCGAAAGCGTCCACAGACCTGCCAATATAGGCACTACCGCTGCACCTGCGACGATCTTGCGCGTTCGCGGACGCATGCGGAATTTCCGAGAAGCGAGACGTGATGCTTGGATGATTTGTGCGCCTTCAACTGCATGGAGCATGACGCTCGCAACCAGTCCACCGTACAAGATCCAGCTCCGCCAGGGAAACCTAGCCAAACCAATCTTGATAAACTCGTAGTCCACCTCCGAGGGTCCTACCGCGAATATCGGTGGTGAAGGATTGGAAGGAGAGACGCGGTGGGTGTAGAAATGTATAGGAAGGAATATTAGAAGAGATGAATATGCCGCGAGACTGAGGGTGCTGGTAATCTTGCGAGGGGATGCTGAGCGCGGATTAATGATCCTTTTGGCGATACTTGAAGCTACGTGGGCTGCCAGAGGTATAAAGAGCAGATATCTCTCCCCAAAGCCAGTTTGGTAGTACTCCCTACCGAGAAGCTGTGCCAGTTATAACTCAAACGTCATCTCCTTGTTACCAACTTGATGATATTGTGTCACCTACCATAACATTGGAAGACAAACTCGAGCCTCCGACATTTGCGAGTGCTGGTGCGGACAAATGGACAACGAGGAAAACTGAAAGGAAAGGCGCGGAAATGTGGGCGACATTTGTCAAAACTGTCGCTGTCATCTGTCTTAGTTTTGACCCATCTCCCTTGGCTGACATTGTTTCTGCGTGGTCGGCGGCCAAGAACGACCACTTTGGGTTTTCGAACAATCCAAGAAAGATACTGGTGAGAGTCGTGGAAGTCGGCTTGCAATTCGTGGGGAATCGTTAGTAGCCGCTGTTTGCCGTGACTTGAAAGCGACATGCTAAGCGATTTACAGAGTTTCGACTTTCTAGTTTGCTAGCATTATACATCCTACAGGTAAGTAACCCGAATCCGTCCCCAATTATACTATGCACATGAATTAATGCGAAACGAGAGAAATGTGGATATGCATGGTGGAGAGGTAATATTAATGGCACTAGAACGGGGCAAGGGGCTAAATAGTATTAGTATCGACTAACCATAAAGAAGGAGTGACACGAAACACGCCGTCGGGATATGGAACAAGTGGGAATAGGGCTACAGGGTCAAGATAGTAAGTAGTGACGGAGATCATCCCCGCGGCTGAGGTTTTGTGGGCTGGGTCACGGTGCGTGTCGGAATTCTACGATTCTGTGGCTTGCTCTTGGAAGAGTGCAGAGTATTCAATATCGCAGGGAATACCGGGTACATGATCAGGGTATTCGGGGAGGGGGAGGAGATTGGTGAAAAAGTCAAAATTGTGTAGGCCAAGGGCATAAGCTTCCAGAGCCTGTGCGCGCTCCATGTCTTCATAAGGTGCTAATAGCTCATCACCATGCAACATTGCTTGCCCGGGCATACAGGGGGAAAGGAGATCGCCGTTCCAGCCAGGATGGGAAGAGGGGCTAGCTGTGAAGGAGGAAGGAGTGTAGGTGAGTCCGTCCCGGCTGTTTGGAGATTGGTAGCCAAGCTCCAGTGCCAAGTGCGACTCGGATGGGTCGTCTATCGAGCTGTTATGCTCCTGTATTATGGTCCTAAGCACACATCGAGGGGAAAAAACGTATCCGAAACGTACCCCAGTCGATGCACCGAAACTGTAGGATATAAAAGGAGATGCATCGTTTGAGGCAGTATGCCATTGCTGAGGCTGCGCCTCAAATTCCTTGCCAAACCGAACATGTGCGGCCTGTGACACATAGTCAAGAGGACGCAGCAGCCACTCTCGTCCTTCAGTCGAGCGAGACCTGCATAAATCGTCCTTCGGAGCATGTGAGGGGAGGATGAGTGTGGGGAACGCGTCGGGCAGCGGAACAGACGACGATCGTCGTTGAGCTGCGGAGCAGTTTTTAGGGACGTCTTTCGGTGCGGAGTCTCCGGATGCCTCGAGATTTTCGCTCCCTTCCTTCTCGATGGCCTGCTGATGTGTAACCCCTCCATCCTCTTGCGAGTCTTCATCCGCATCTGCGATATAAGCAGGTACTTGCTCGTCTGAAGAATCAAGAGGAAAAATGTTGTTACTCAGGCCTAGATCGTATTGACGCTTCTTCAGCCCGGAGATTTGCCGCCTCATTGGACGAAAGCGATAGTGGGGGTAGAGACGTGCGTGCTCCTCCCTCTCCTTATCTGCAAGCACCTTGTATTTATCCTTGTCAGAAGCAGACAGCTGCTTCCACGCCTCAGCCGCTCGCTTCGAGAGGGTTTTGGCTGTAGGATTCGGTGCCTCCGATTCCTCGTCGCTCTCTTGGGCTGCCTGACTGTGCTTGCGCGAGTACTCACAGCGAAAGATTATGAAGGCGTTTCTAGGCCGAGGGATCCAACTCGGATCCCTGCTCCTGTTACGCTGTGCGCGTCGATCAGATGAAGGAGCCATTGGTTGGTGAGTGATACAGGAGGTGGACGCTATAAAATGTCTGGACAGGGGATATGTTTGGTCTGGAAGATGAACATCATGGTCATCCTCCACGGATGCAGGTGACCATCCGCGGAGGACAGGGTGGGCAGTAAAGACCATTGAAGACCTTGAAGGGAGTTCCAAACGGACGCGACAGGGAGTCGTTTTGTTATATGAACGAATCAGCAAACCTACCGTGGATCTCGGATCTGCTGCTTGCTGCCGCTCCAAGGTTGGCTGAATTTGAACTCAGACACATGAAGGGGCTCAGTTTCGTGTTGTTTTCGACGACAGGCTGATCAAAATTGAAACCTAGTAACTTGGCGAGCCGAGCCAGGAAATTGAAACAATTGAACAACACGAAAGCAGCGCTAAGCAGCGTCCCTATAATTTAAATAGATTAATAACCAAGACACCATTCGATCCGTTCGATCATCCCAATCTAGATCACTCCTAGCATTATACCCCATACATGATATCCACCGATCAGTATGAGATTACGCCGTGGATACTAATTCATGGTTCTGTGACTCAGGGTAGGAGTGTGGTCTGTATACCTGCACGTTGAGGTGAGATCAATGAGCCCTGGAAGGTTGTAGCAAGTTTGCTTGTGCCTTACGACAGACTCTTCGCTATTGATGGGGGAAATACGGTTATCAGATATGCTCAAGTGGGAGCTTGACCGCAAATGGACGTCAAAACGCGGCTACTTTCAGGGTGCTCGACAAGAGGTCCTAATCTTGACGTGCGTGGGATGGCAGTGCTAGAAATGGCCAAAGCGACCGAACGACAGTTGTGAATTTGGCAGAATTTGGCAAGACGTTTGATGGACAATGCTATGATCATCGGGACCACCAGACAGTGAGTCTCACTATTACAGGAGGAAATGCAAAAGAGTTTTCTCAGTTGGCATGTAAGCTGGTGGCAACTGTTAGGAGAGTTCAACAAGACACGCTTCATGTGTACTGGCCTACACCGATCACCATCAAGCAGGGCTTGCCACAGAATTCCGGATGCGGCTGCCTTACCAGTTCCCCACGTATATCGTCCCTTACCACCTGCAAAACGGTTCTCTTTCTAGACCCAGTTCGTTTAATTACGTCTTCGTTGAGGTGTGATTGATTATGTAATCATTTTGTGATCGAGCCCGATCCTCACTAGTCACCGCCGGCAGCTAGTAGTTCTCCGTGGACTTGACCAAGCTCACTGACAAACGCAGAATGATAAACTCAGTCATTAATATTGTCATGGTTGTAGTTACATTTGTTAATGCACCGCAGGTGATGCAAGACCTAGGCGTGTTTTGACTTCCATCATGGTCACCTCGGAGTGTTCAATAGCGCGGGCAGCCCCGCGACGTGCTACCTCATCAAGATATGTCGTTTCCTGACGAATGCGATCGAACTGCGCCCGGGGCCCTTTAAGGAATTCCTCAACAGCCTCTGCGACATCGCGTTTCAAAGTTCCGTGGCCTTGGCTCTCATAGGCTTTTGCGATCTGGGTGACATCGCTGTCTGTGCAGGCGGCGAGAATAGTCAGCAGATTTGAGGTGCCCGGGCGGCCTTGAGGATCGTAAGTAATGCCCTGAATGGAGTCTGTGACAGAAGCCCGAATTTTCGATTGGATCTGGGAAGCGATATCGGTGAGCAGAATGCGGGACTGGACGTCGGGTGAAGATTTCGACATCTTGGACGTTGGGTCTTTGAGTGATAAAATCCGCTTCGATGGGGCTGAAGAAATGGGTCAACGGATATATATGCACATCCTCGGATGCTTACTGTTGACGTAGGTCGGAAGGGGGAACAGGGGAGACGTTCCTTTGAATGTTCGGTTGAAGATATCAGCGATATCCCTCGTGAGTTCTATATGTTGCTGTTGATCGTCGCCTACAGGAACGTGAGTAGCTCTTAGCAACATATCAGTAGTGTCGAAAATGACCACTGCAAGAAGGCCCACTTGTAAACAAGCACGTCGGCGGCTTGTAGCACAGGATACATGAATAGACCAGCGTTGAGCATCGACTCGTCCACTTTGTCCTCTGAGCCAGAGTTTCGTGCCGCAGCTAATCTTGACTTGAGGAACATAAGAATGGAATTTAACTACATTTGAAATACCGCACCTTCCATGTCGTCATCCGGCGCAGCTTCCCCATGGGCGTTATGCAGCTTAATATCCAGGAGAGTTCGGTATGGTGAGGGTTCTATGTATTGTTAGCCAAACGGCTACCAGGATAGAGCAAATAGATACATGGTCCTGGTGGAATAATATTGACCGGTCAGGGTCGATGCCTATGGCAAGTAAAACAGCCAGCATGTCATTCCTTGCAGCCAGTAAGGCAGCAGGATTCTGTGGAAGAGTCAATGCATGCCATCCAACAATTGAAAACAGCAGTTTGTCCTCGGGTTCTGCGGATTTCTGCAGCTTCACCCAATTAGACAGTGCGCCTAGGTAGTTCCCTAGCTACTGCTATGTAAGTTGTTCCATGTCAAAAAAAACAAAAAAAAGATTTTACATGAGGGATACCAGTTGGTTGGATGCCAGATAGTATCACGCGTTGCGGGCGTATCTGGCAGACGCGTCGGGGAATGATCATGTATGGCGAGCAAGTTCAATGCTGAAGAAAAGTGGTTCAAACTCCGACAACATCCAATTAAAGCTTGCACGGTAGTAGTCTCTAAACCTGGTCACCTGGCGTTCTGCTTTACTGACGTCCATTACCAGCTCATCTGGCGACCGCAGCCACATGGAGTACGACCCCTTGGTGGACCTTCCTGGCGGCGACAATTTTCACGATGTGACTGCGTTGTTTGAGGATGCTGCCGAAGGTGACCAGAAATACTTGTGTTAGCCTACCTGCCTACTCAATATCGTCTAAGCCTTGCACCCTGGGGCCCTCGTGTTGACTAATGGATTCACTCTGCTGGATGCTATGTCGTCGTTCGAGGTAAAAACCTTCTTTCCGAAGTCCGAACAATTTGCTGATGATGTCTGAAGATAGGCGAACCACGTTTCGACAGCGGCTTGGCGCTTCTGGATAAATCTAAGCCGATATTTAATCCTCTCGCCCCGCTTACCCCAGAGGAAGTGTGCTGGATCATCGATCGCTCATTTTCCTGCGAGGTAAATCAGAGACAGCGTAAACTTTTCCACATGTATTCATTTGTCCCCTGTCTGGCGCCCAGATGGAATGGCACTCCGGTTACACTCTTTCGCAAACCATATATTCATTCCTTTACGTTCACTCCTTGAAAGAGATTGACCCTGACCTCGTCCCCGGGGGTTCACCGCCACGCTCAGACAACTTGCGTCCGCCAGAGCTAATCACAGTCGTTCTAAGGGCAGCTCTATTAGGCCTTCTCAAGTGTTGTGACCTATCCTGGAGGGAGCTGAATAAAGGGAATGTGTACGATGTTCGTCAAAGCACCGTTTAAGTTGCCAGCCATGCTCATCTATGACCAGGCCGAGGACTGGCAAAGCGAGAAATGTGACGTGCCCCTCTCCGAGGCTCTACCCGTCAAATATATCTGCAAGGTGCTTGATGAAGCGTGTCATTGGCTCGAGACCTCAGCTAAAGGTGTGAAATGGCTCACATAACAATGTTAACCCAATGTTCATGCGATAACAACCATAGTTCAGCAACCTTGGAAAGCCATGCTGATGAACCGATTAATGCTTAGAAAGGTTAGGGGTGTTTCTTCTTTTTATATGACAGTCTACTGACTTGTGTCAGTCACTAATCGTGTTGTTCGAGACACAATTGTCTCAACCTCACTCTAGTTTGCTTCCGACGATGATCAATCTAAGCCTGCAATTATTGCATCCTATCATGACAGTAACTCCGTCAGAACCAGCGCTAGATTCTCCAGCCCGTCTTGCGTTCGACCCTCAGTTTCCTCGTGTTATCGTATCATATATCCCCCTACATGTCATACAGCTACCCGACCAAGCTCGTACCTGGGCTTTACTGGAGGGGATGTTGACATCGCTGAAGAACGTCAATGATCTGGCAAACACAACTGAGCTGACGACATGGGAGGTATATACTATCACTGCTCTTCCGTCGTAGACATTAAATCTAGCATCAGGTTGCTGGCCATCTACAGCTGTGGTGCCCACGGCCCCATAGTCGGTTTCCATACGTGCGTTCAATCACCCAGGCGAGTAATTCGTGCATGACAATCAATCTAGTCGAATTTTATGATAATCCTAGTCCGCGTTCTGGGACGGCGTCCTCGTACTCAACAAGTTTGCACTCAAACATGTTGTGGACCAGTTCTTCCGCGAAACGCTGAACATTTCCTATGACGCTTTCACGCAAGATATCATGACAAGATGGGAGGGTCCGGCGCCTCCACCACTCGCACAGATTGAACGCACCATGACGCAGGTTTGTTTGAAGTTGCGAAATCCTGCATATGTGCTGACAGCAAGACAGATACTGATAGCAAACATCAAGTCGCTATGGTACAACCTACCACGGCGGCGCCGATTCTGTGCGAAGTCACTTTTCGACTGGCATGAGTTGTTTGTCGTATTCATGGACGTGTGTGTACGCCTTGCGCCCTTGGTGAGTGTCACAAATGTAAGCAGTACCCTGTATGCTCACTAGACGATGACTATCAGCAAGACCAAAAAAAGCTTGACCATGTCCGTCGCGCCAGGGTAGCTGTGCTAATGTATAGGCTGTCTGTAATCCGCGAAGTCGTTCTATCGGGATTCCAATTGTCACTTTACACAAATGAAGAGCGCGTTTTTGCGTACTGGTATGTTGTACAGGTGCTTGAGATGCACTTGTCCTGCATAGATCAACTTATGCCAGGCATGTCGAGTGGTACGTGGTTCGATATTCATAACGACTAGAGTTAATTCTTTTCATTAGACTCAAATGCCTACTTCGAGTTATCATATCAGTTGCAATTCCTCACGGCATTGCAGTCCCTCTCAATGACTGTCTTCGCTGTAAGTAACGGTGAATATCACTCGTTCCAGATCTTGACTCGACAGAAAGATCACGGTTAAAAAAACGACCTTCTCGTGGCGACGCACAAGGCTTAACTTTCTGCGGCGCTACAAGTGGGCTTTTATGCCTGAGTACGAAGATATTGATCTGCAACCCATCGGACATCCCAGCTTCACCAAGTTTGCTACTGCGTGCGAATCCATGCAAAAGGCAAGTGTTCGCGATAACCGGAATGAGGTGCCTGTTTAAATCGAAAATAGGATAAACAGTTCTCGCTAGACAGCATCGCGCTTGCCATAGAAGTTCTATCACGTTTGCTGACGTCACCCGATGGCTGGGCGGGACGATGGAGTGAGGAACGGAAGAAGGTGAGAAAATATTTAGTTGTACCTAATGCTGATTCTCATCTTCCGCAAGTTTGTCCAGAAGCTCCTGGATGTATGCATCGATTTGCAGAGACAGCTCCCTTCAACCGAGCAGGCCTTGACGACATGGGATGCAAAAACTTTGAAGTGGGATGCGGATGTTCATCCTTGGTTTCCAATTATCTCTGGTTTCCCTCCAGCACCACCACGATAGATTGGGTGTTTTTTTACCCATTGATACAGATACAGCGTTCCTCACATCTGGAGGGCTGTGTTCCAGCCACTAGCAATACGATGTCAAATCTATCATGCATGGTATGAGGACGCATTGACATGGATCAAGTCGGTCAGCTGAGACCCCCTATTGTTATCATCGATTAAAATTAAGTAGCAAATTAGTTGCAAACTTTAATTATGATCTTTGGAAGTCTTTCTGATGGTCGACCTGTCAGGGCCTCGCCAGGTACGCAAATGTATTAGATTGTTCAACGTTCAACGTTCAACGTTCAACGGCCGCTTTCTGACGGATCTTTCGTCGCCGCGCTAGCTATATTTGCGCCATTTGTAAGCCTAGTCATTGATCTGAGGTTTTGCCAGATCAATGCTCTCAGCTAATTGTTGAATATGTCCTAACGATGCCCTTGCTTTGGATGAAAGCAAAGGCAAGAAGGTACACGAGTATAAAAAATACATATTCCCATTTGGACACAATTTGGACATGTGTGCGCCATTTCGGTCAATGTTGCCGACCCTCCCCTATTAACCAGGGTGTGCGACCTTTGGCGAGTCGTCGTTGCACATTCGACGACAGCGGTCTGGTTGTACATCGAGGTCGCCCTCCCCGGCCCATCTAGTACTGCAGATCTCCCTGATTCCCGTAGCCATTGACAATGCACAGGCGCTCCGGTCTGAGCGGTTTTTGACTTTATCCTTCCGCGTGCGCAATAATTTCCTTTTATATTTTTCGCCGTAATCTAAACGTCTTTTCGTACAAAACATGAAACAAAACGGGAAAGAATGGCGGCTAGTATCTAAATCACGTGATCTTATTATTGGAGAATGCAATTAATCTCAGCAGCCGAGTCTAACCTCCTTAGTACTAGCATGCTTGCCGCACTCTGTCTACTGTGTGTCGACATCTGACTGCAATCAACCCAACCCAACCCAACCCAGTCGTATTACTGCAATGCCGTCGCCGCAACGACAGGTGTCGGGAGCTCTCACTGGACTCTTGGCACGTGCAAGCCCATATCACAGTGCGGTCACTTTGATTGAAGCCGGAAATGCGGATCAGCCGTCAACATCACTGTCCTCCAGTCCAAAACCGTCGAAACGTATTAAGCTCGAGGTCGAATCCCCCAAGACATCAAACATCTCAGACCGGACACGTTCGACGAGCCTACGGAAGACGTCATCAACTGTGAAACTAGAAGAGACGGTGTCTGAAGAAGATACGAGTTCGAGAGTGAAGGCCAAGTCCCCCAAGAAACCTAAACCGATACCACAGAATCTGGACACTCCGCATCCTGCTCCACCACACTGGAAGGAGGTGTATGACTCGATCAAAGAGATGCGCGCGCAAACTGTTGCTCCTGTAGACACTATGGGGTGCGAACAAGCCCAGCACAAGGAGAAAGACCCAAAGGTTAATATTCATGCAATCTTATATGACAACAGTCTTATTTTGTATGGCAGAACCGACGGTTTGCTATCCTAGTTTCTCTGATGTTATCTTCCCAAACGAAAGATGAAGTAACGGATGCAGCTGTTGAGAAGCTGCGAGCTGCTGTGGGAGGCACGCTATCTGTTGCCGCCATCATATCTGCGGATGATTCTACAATATCAGATGCGATAGCAAAAGTTGGGTTCTGGCGACGGAAGACTGGGTCCGTTCATCCTTCTATAGAAGGAAGACTGGCTATATTCACGTTTTCTATCAGGTATATCAAGAAGACGGCTTTACGGTTACGGGATGACTTCGATTCAGAGGTACCCAAGACAGTGGATGAGCTATGCTCATTGCCAGGAGTCGGACCTAAAATGGCGTTTCTTACGCTTCATGTCGCCTGGAATCTGTACACGGTGAATTTACTACGCCCTTTATGAACTCGCTAACGCACTTGCAGCAATCACGGTATTGGCGTGGATGTGCACGTTCATCGTATTACTAACAGGTTGGGATGGCATCAACGGCCCACCAAGAAGCCTGAAGAAACGAGGTTAAATATTCAGTCCTGGTTACCCATCGAATTGCATCGCGAAATTAACCACATGCTCGTCGGCTTTGGACAGGTATGTTTGCGCTATAGCGGGGAGTCTCATTGTAATCCCTCTTTTGCTAAACAGACCATTTGCGTCCCTGTGGGACCGAAGTGCGATTCGTGCACATTGAGCACTAAAGGGCTGTGTCCAAGTGCTAATACAAAACCTCCGAGAAGCCCGAAGAAGCGCAAGAGACAATCTTCTGCAAACCTTGAGCACGAATCTGGACCAAAGATCAATATTGCAATCGAGTCTTGACCTATGAAGAGTTGATGCTCTTCCACCTCCGCCCAGTAACGCATGCACATATTCTGTGATGTCCAGATACAATAATTTGCTACCAACTTACATAACTAATTAACCAGATCGAAATGCTTGTCTCGAGCAAAGGAAACAAATTATGTTGGACGCTGTGATCTGAAGAGTCTTAATTAGGGAATGCGGCATCTTCGAGTTAGATTAGCTTCAGCGTGAGAACTTTATCTTCATTCTTCGGTGAACGAAGAAGACCACCGCTCTTCATGCTGCGCATGGAAACATATTTCCAAGTTGGCCACACAACTTGTTTCGAGGGCCTAGCTCATCATTCATTGGCAGATTAGGCTATACAATCTTCCAACCTGTTACTTCTTGAACCTCCAGAAGTAGCCAAAGTTAGCCTGACGGACAATCGTCGCATGGATGTATGTGTTCTTGCTAAATGAAAATTTCTTCTTTAGTACGGCCGTCCCCTGTCCTGATGAAGTTCGACTTTGACGTGGAGCTCTGTTTGTTCCTCGGCGCCCGTAGTTGATTTCCATTGCTCCCAGCATCCTGTGTTGGGGCTCGGTTGCTTATTAATGATCCACTGGCACTGGACGTCCGTGATATTGTCACACGGTTATATGCTCCAGGTAAGAAAGTTAACAGGCCTCGAAGCATGATGAAACCTAAATGCTAATTATAGGCCCAGACACTGGACAGGCCATCTTGAGTCAATGATGATGAAACATCAGCGCACCCACCGTGTCTGTTCGGTGTGAAACTCGGAAGTAATATTTAGAAGAGGTACAAGTACGGCAAAGTTCAGAGGAAGTTCCTCGTGATTAGCATATAATTTGGAAGCCAGAGCGATCAGCATTCAAGTTACGTTTTCTGTCGCCTGTAGACTCTGCAAATGTTACTAATGGGCCCATCTCCTTCACTTGATGACAAGGACATTAATATTGCCAGCTTGTGCAAGGTTAGTTGATATTCGATTCGCAGGAGACACCGATTCTGACAGGCTACTATGTATAGGTTTGTGCCCACGTATCTGCGAAAGAATACGAAACACGGAGTGACGAGGTTGGTGTCTGCATCGCCTACTAGTGAATTCAGGGCCATCGGTGACTGCTATTTTAGCAATCAGCCGAATGTTAGTGACACTATTTAATACTGGGTTGGTTAATCCTTGGACCCCACCTACTCTTTCAGTGACAGGTAGGGATTCCGTCCGTACAACTTACACCCACCCATGTCGACCGCAACCACAATTACTCCAGAGGAGATCCAAGCTTTGGACCTAGACCTCCTGGTAGCCCCAACAATCAAATACATCTGCGGTGGGCCCTCCTGCTTTCCGAGACTGACACGCTTACCTATTATTCGGATACCATGTAGTCGCTGCTTTAACGCTCTTTACCTGGGACCTGAGTGAGTGAGCCCTCTTTGTGACCTTATTCTGGACTTTTGACAAAGACACTAGTCCTAACTTTTCCTCACGAGGTAAGTTGTTCAACCGGACCTGAATTATTGCGGAAGCTCAGCAGTGACAGGTTAGACTATGGGTGCGTCTAGTTAGGCGCAATTTTGGCTAGCCAGTGACGGGGACCACGTGTAGAACGCCAAATGGACGCTTGCAAAAGTTCTATTTTTCGTGGTGAGATAAGGTCTGCATATCGGTTGGGCGTTATACCTCATACTTCTCAGAATCGATACTTTGCACTTGGGACAGCTATTCTAATAACATTTTGTGAGTTGTGCACCGAAGTTTGTTGTCGACGCTCAGCGTTTATTGCTGAGATGCAGTGACGTTCGATGTTACACCCACATGGGCTATGTGCGTTATCTCACCGATCACTTTTATTACTGATACTAATTCGGAACAGATGTAAGCTCAAACACTTTCATCCCTTAATCCACCTCATGGAAACGTCAGGTTCTGTAAACACTGTCTTTGCTGTCATTGGTACGTAGCATACTCCATCAAAATCGGCTTTAGTCTGACAATTCCCAGCTTTGTTACTAGTGGCCAATATCGAAAGTAAGCTTTCTGAGCCATCTGATACACCACGTACTCATCAAAGTCTTAGTGATTCTCCAACTTCGATTATACGCGCTGTACGCCTATGGTGCGTGGAAATGCAAATACTTCCGGTTGATATCTAGATGATATCCAGACAAGAGAATCGTCCTCCCTGTGTCGACATTGTTCGTCGCGGTCTTCAGTGGCATGATGGTGATGGCAGTGAACATATACCAGTATGAACAGAGTGAGCTTCATCAATATTACCAAGTATGTACACTGATCAAAGTTTAGACCACAAAGCTCAGATCTTTGGCGTATGTGCCATAGTTGAGTCCGTGGATTGGCTGTATCTTTTCTGGTACTTACTCCGTGGACTGCCTTTGCGACCCGCTCCTCATTCTCCACTAGGGTGCCAATGATGGGTTTAGACTTTGTTCTTGTCCTGTTAGCAGGCTACAAATCTCTTCAGCATTATTTCCAGGTACCTGACAAGACTTGGTCTGGTGCACGTCTTATGCGTACCTTCGCGCGAGACTCGATTCTTTATTTTCTCTGGTGAGAGCACATGCAACGCAGTGGGTCGATTCTGATCCAAGTACTGCTTTGTTATTTCCAGTAACTTTTTGATATACCTGTTCAGCACCTTGCTGGGCAAATTCGGCCCTGCTGAGTATTACCAACTTGGCGCGATCACGGTCGCAATTGTCCCACCTATAACGGCGAACCGTCTCCTCATCAACATGCACGATTCGACACACGCAGAGCAAGAGAGAGGTACAATGAGGTCTGTCGTTCGCATCCATCCTTGACCAATGTATTTGGCATGAGGTCAGAGTACACCAAGAGGACATAGAGAGCTCGCATCCATAAGTATAGAGGATACTATGATAGATAAACAGGAGTAAGCCTCCTGTGTGCTCGACCAAGTGTCGATGTCAATTCAATTAGACGTTCTACTTAGGAACACTGAAGATACTGGAAGAATCCGGTCAATGTGCAGAACTTCGAAAGCGCTAGTTTTTCTTCACTGATCTTGAGCTTTGAACACATTTTCCGTAACACAACTTTTTTGACGGCCTAGCTCATGAATCGTACGCCTGAGTACTAGGGCCCGAATTAGAGCCGCGGGGACCTCCATGCGCAATCAAAGCTGCTGTGTTTGCAGTCTTGCATACTTTGTCGCTCTTGTAACTGCAATCGACTTCTACTTCAATCAGAGCCATGTAGATCACGACCACGGGCAGGAGAGGAGTTTCCTTCATTATAAGAGATCAATAAGAAAAGGGGGCCATAGTATGCAAGGCGGAAGACGAAAGAAGATGGAAAAGAGACAATCGAGGATAACACGAGCACGCGGATGCAACAACAAAGTGACGGGATGGCAATGGAGAGGCGCAAGTCAATAGTGCACAGGGAATTAAAATATTAACTGCGTCGTCGAAGAAAATCGATGAGATTAATAATAATATTAGAATCCCTGTTTATTGTCCGTTGGGGCAAAGCCCTATGATCAATGGACATGACATACGCGAATGTTCTGGCGTCGTGCACTGTGCTCTGCAGTGGTATTAGAGACTTCACCCTCATCGCCGATCGGACGTCACGGCGACTACTTTGGGCCATTCCAAAAAAGGAAATCTTTTCACGCGCACATGAAAATACATGTACATGGCGCATCGTGTGTGCATTTCTTTTTACACGGATTCCAGCTACATTTCAACTGCTTCGCTGCCCACTTGTTTCCCCGTGTCCAGATCCCACACCCGATGACTGTTGTTGTGGGAGCTAGTGACGAGGAGACGGGTACCACAAACGAAAGCTACCTTATGCACTAATTTCTCAAGACCCTTGAGCGTCAGTTCGAGTCTGTGAGGCACTTCCTTTCGAGTTGGCGCTTGGGACGCTGCTTTGTGCGTGCCGGTGATGGCCGCCATTGAATCTTTTTTGATGTCTCGGTCAGCAGGAGCGTCGACGAGGGAGTGGTTACTTGCGCGCACTAAGGTGAGTAGGCACTAAGTTGCATCTCCTACAGGATACTATCCCTGAATCCACATGTCGGGCTTGCTATAGATACGTGATGTCCCGCATGCAAGTTAGAGTTTCAGGAGTAGCGCGGTGGTCGCTTGTAATGTGCTTCGCCCTGTTGCGGCTGATTCAATTTCTCGTCCCATCGATATCTTCTCACATTGAACGAATCATTGGCTCGACGGCTGTGGTAATATCGTAATTTCAGCTAGAGGGAGAAGCAACTTTTCGTTCCTGCCGACATCATTGGCCAGCAAGTACCCTCTCGGTACACTCGATTACACGACTTCTCCTGACCACTCTAAGTTGATTTGGCAACCATACGGACGCGCAGCTCTACATGTGGGCTGGCCAATATACACGCGAGATTATGCATACAAGTTGTCATCGATAGGGCCGTACGGCCTATCATCGAGCGATGACAGAACAATACCGTTGCATGCATTTTCATTGAAGACCACCGCTAACATCAGATTCTTCCTGTGTTTGCGAACTCTACAGCTGTACGAGCTGGTACATATGGGACTGAATCGCGGTTCATGACACTACGGTTAGCGTCGTTCTCACCTGCACAACCAGCCACATCATTAGGCAGACCTTACTCATTTGGCATGTTTAGCTTGAATTCATTGATTTAACTATTCTTAGCCCAGCGGTTAACAGGTTTGAGATCTGTTGGTGCAGGTTCGAAACCTGCCGACATTGGTTTTTCTCCGTGATTGCACCTTGGGCATGAGCTCATGGAGAGGTCATTGAACGTCAACCGTAAGAGTCATGGCCAAGTCGTTAACAGATTCGAAATCTGTTCCTTCCGGATTGTGCAGGTTCGAAACCTGCTGACAATGGTTTTTCTCTGATCACGCCCTGAACATGATCTCACGGAGAGGTCTTCGAACGTCAACCATAAGACTTATGGCCAAGTTGTTAACAGATTTGAAGTCTGTTCCTCCTGGATGGTGCAGGTTCGAAACCTGCCGATAACATTTTTCTCCATGATCTGAATACTGCGTATCATAGTACAATTACATAATGGGACTCGCACTCCACGAAACTCATGTGCTAACCCTACTTGTAGCTTCTACCCCAAATGAAGGGACCGCTCCCTTCTATCGTTGCGTTGCAGGCCACTCCTTCCGACATCGAGCTCCTGCTACTTCGTTCCATAGAGTGGATGACGTTCGAGGACTGCGCTGGAAGAAGCCACCTTCATTTTGCGGTACTCCCTAGGTAAGCTTTTTGTTGAGGCTCCACTATCATGGCTTAATCCATGGCTTCAGGTGACGAGAGGATTTCACTTGCCAAGAACCTTGTGGAGGTGCTTCCCCGTGAACTCGCCTCCATCGACCAATTTGAGGAACGAGTCACAGAATACCTTCACTACAGGCAGTTCTTCACGATCTGAGACAGTCTTGACCACGTCGTTGAGTGTTTGAGTCTACAGGCGTCGATAATGAACCGGGACACCAGAGCTGCTTGGTTAAGCGACTACAAGGGACTCGTCGACTAGGCTTACAATGCCGTTGTGAAACTGCTCACCTCGGTTTTGATGATGCCGGATGAGACAGGAGATCGCCGCGGATATACGTCCCCGAGCTTATACTGCGGCTGCAGGTCATGCTCTACGCTTCTCGAAAGCATGTCCTAAAGTAAGCGTGTCTTCGTATGCAGTGCCTGCAGTCCTAATATATCTTGGACAGGAATCTGAAGCGCGGATTCGAGGTACAAGCTACTATATGATGATTTCTCAGATCTCGATGGTCGGAGGCTTGGGGAGTACCTTGACGCTGTGCGCCTATGATTGACATCCCAGTTCCGCCGCTCGCGACCCAACTCGTTCTCGAGGCTTACCTACAAGTGTTGGAAGTAAGAAATTGTCTTTTATTTTGTTCCGCACTAATATCCCTATCAGGCTGCAGGCCAACGAGAGTTGATCGCCATGTATGCCGGCGCACTGGGTGACAATGCAGTGGAGCGATATGCAATGTTCTTGACCTTGCTCGAACTGATTGCGGACATCAACGAACGTCGATTAGCGTTGACTCGTACACGAGAATATGGTCTAAACGAGTCCCAGAGTAAGCATGTCTTCGTATGTAGTGCCTGCAGTTCTAACACATCTTGTACGGGAATCTGAAGCGTGTATTGGAGCTTGCTAACATTGTTGCGGATTCGAGGTGCAAGCTGTATGATGATTTCTTACATATGGATCGTGGGGAGTACCTTGACGCTGTGCGCCGGGCGACGATAGTTGGGTTGGAAGGGGGTGGATCGGATCCTTTGAAGATTATTCTATTGTAACGAAACATTCTCTACATATTTGTTCTCTATCTTTTTGCGACGCACTTGCTGTAATTTCTACTCATGTGAAAAGGATGATCGATGATCTCTGCATTCTATACCACGCAAAGACTGAGTAACAGAGAGACTCTGTGGGGGTGACTATACCGGACAAAGGCAAAGATGAAGCATACATAAAGTAATGTATAAGACCAAGTATAACGGGCTTGTATCAATATAAGGCGTAATTGACGTACAACAAAAGTATCTTGCAGACATGGTTTAAATAGCTGGGATCTAGATAGGACAGCGGGAGAATGAAAGCAATCGGGGTCACAGAAGATGCAGTGATATAGCGAACGAACCTCAAACTAGCTAGACACCTATGTGAACAAATACGATCTGCTGTTCCAGTGGGATCTTATTGTGCCGCAATTTCTTCACGGCCTTGTGCAACGCCACCGCAGCCCGCGTGCAGTCCAACCTCCCTGAATCATCGACCAGCTTGTCGTAAAAGGCAGACACAACCTGCCGTGCAACCTCGTCGTCGACGGACCACATAGAGCCAATCACACTGCGAAATCCGGAGAATTGCATCGCCGCGGCGAGATGGATAGACTCATCAGGACTCTTCTCATGGCCCACGGTAGTGTGGCAAGCCGATAAGAATGCAAACTCCGGGTTCTGCCAGTTGGATCGGATGATGTCCTTGATCATCAACGGCCCATCACGCATTGCGAAAGAAGATTCAAATGGCTGTTGTCGATTCGGCATTCCGTGGCAGGCCAGGTGAAGCCACTGGTTATGGTTTAGTGCATCGAGAACACCCTGCACTGTTGCGTCACTCTCCTCGAGCGACATGAAGGACGACACGATGGGTACGAGACGCTGAGCTATGGCGGCTAATTCAGGAGCGACGCATCGCAGTTCCTTCCCACTGTCCGGGTTTCCTTGACCAATTGCAACAAAATGTTGAGAAGATGCATATTGAGAGACGCGCTGTCTCGCACGAACGAGTGTTGCCAAAGTAGGAGTATAGGAGGAGATGTAAATCTGTGACAAGTTGTCTCTCTCCCTCTCATAGGGTCCTGCTGCATGTAGAGGAAGTAAAGTAAATTCAGCAGTGGGACACCACCAGATACGCGAGCCGGGGCAAACATTCGACTTCCTAAGGGCTTGGACCACGGGGTCAACGATATGATGCCAAAGCTTGCGGAGAATGCCAACAAGCTTGTTCTGAAGATCGGAAGAACCAAATTGCTCTGCGACAGACTGAAAATCGGAGGACAATTCGGTGACTTGAGCGCGCGTGACATCAATCGGAACGTGGACAGGATTTCGGTCACTCAGGACAATCAAGGCGTCACAATTGTACTGACTAGCATTGACGATGATGACGGGACCCTCTTCAGCGGCCTTCTGTAGGTCTGAGAATTTGGGAGGCAGGAGAAACCGAGATGAGTCAGGGAGCATGCGGATGCGGGAGACGACATCGTTCCATTGGATGGACAGTTGTCGGATTTGTGCGGACTGGTCTCCAGTAGACTGATCGAATGCGGTACGAAGGCGAAAGCTCAGCTGCTTGAATTCTTCCGCCAATGCTCCGCCGGTGTCACCGGGCAGGGAAAGTCCATCGAACGGCGAGCTTAAGCGTGCTAACTGGGTCCAGAATACTGCACGACCTTGCTCCACCAATTCCACAGCAGTTGTCAGCGCACCATGACGAACGCTGCAGGAGAAGGCGTCCACAGCAAGGGACGCCGTAGCCATCCTCACGACATCGAAATGACGTGACGAAGACGACAAAAGATTGACATGCTGATCTAGGAATTTGGATGCAGTTTCATATGCGAGCAATGCAGAACCATGGTTTACCTCTTCAGCTGCGGTAGCCCATGACTTGGCAGCACTAAGATCCGAACGAGAGACTGCATGAGATATGTGTGGGAGTTGCAAGAAGAGGCTAAATGTTTCATCAAGGTCAGGAGGGAGGCTCCGTTGCATGAATCTGTCTCGAAGGCTAGCAGCGAGATTGTTGAGAGACTCTGATCGATGAGAATGACCGGGGGGACGGAGGAGTAATGCAGCTCGATGGAGCTCAATGCGCTCATCAAGGTCAGACGGGACGCCCCGCTGCCTGAATCTGTCTGCAAGGCCGGTAGCAAGATTGTTGAGAGAGTTTGATCGATCAGAATGACCGAGGGGACGAAGGAGTAATGCAGCCCGATTGAGCTCAATGCACTCATCAAGGTCAGACAGGATGTCCCGCTGCCTGAATCTGTCTGCAAGGCTGGCAGCGAGATTGTTGAGAGACTCTGATCGATCAGAATGACCGGGGGGACGAAGGAGCAGTGCAGCCCGATGGAGCTCGATGGACTCATCTAGGTCAGATGGGACGCCCCGCTGCCTGAATCTGTCTGCAAGGCTGGCAGCGAGATTGTTGAGGGACTCTGATTGATCAGAATGACCGGGGGGACGAAGGAGTAGTGCAGCCCGATGGAGCTCGATGCGCTCATCAAGGTCAGATGGGATGCCCCGCTGCCTGAATCTGTCTCCAAGTCCGACAGCGAGATTGTTGAGAGACAACGATCGATCAGGATGCCCGAGGGGACGAAGGAGTAGTGCAGCCCGATGGAGCTCGATGCGCTCATCAAGGTCAGACGGGACACCCCGCTGCCTGAATCTGTCTCCAAGGCCGACAGCAAGATTGTTGAGAGACAACGCTCGATGAGAATGACCGGGGGGACGAAGGAGTAGTGCAGTTCGATGGAGCTCGATGCGCTCATCAAGGTCAGATGGGACGCCCCGCTGCCTGAATCTGTCTGCAAGGCTGGCAGCGAGATTGTTGAGGGACTCTGATTGATCAGGATGCCCGAGGGGACGAAGGAGTAGTGCAGCCCGATGGAGCTCGATGCGCTCATCAAGGTCAGACGGGACACCCCGCTGCCTGAATCTGTCTCCAAGTCCGACAGCGAGATTGTTGAGAGACAACGATCGATCAGGATGCCCGAGGGGACGAAGGAGTAGTGCAGCCCGATTGAGCTCGATGGACTCATCTAGGTCAGATGGGACGCCCCGCTGCGCGAATCTTTTTCGAAGGCTGACGGCAAGATTGTTGAGAGACCGTGGTCGATCAGAATGACCTGGGGGAAATCTCTTCAAAGCCGCTCGACAATGTTCTACATCGTTCGCCATGCTATCATGGTACCACAATCAAATTACAGGGCGAGGGCTGTTAGGAACACAAGGAGGATGAAGCCGAAGAGCTCAAGTGGGCGAAGACGACACTATCATGTTATCCGCCTTCCATCAGCACAAAATATGTTTGAATTGCAATGCACACGCACATGTGTAGAAATTCGAGCAATGAAGTAGTAGAAACCTGTGAGAGGAAATGATATGCTGAGCGCTTGTCGATTACAAGTTGACGAGTTAGTCCTGTTCCGGTGGTCCGACTTCTTCGCTTTCTCGTTGGCGGGCCCGGTACCTTGACAGACTTGGAAAACGCATTTTACTCACTGCAACAGAATCCAGATATTCGTAAAGTTAATGTTCAACGATCGACAAGTGCGTGAAACAATATTGCTATGGCCGGCGGTGATAGCTACATAGGACACACGATCAGACTTCGTCAGGAAGGAGTTGGGCTAGTTTGGTTGTCCAAGAAGGATGTTGCAGGTGCGTTCTTGATGATCTTAGGTCTTCTTAGGCTCGCCCATCACTCGAATAGATCAAGTAGTGCGTTCGAACCACGAGTCACTAACATCCCAAAAATCTATGGATTTCAAGTATGTCCTACAACATATAAGGATTCAAGTTTCTCCGTTCATGCTAAGCTCGAACAGATGTGACAGACAACCTCACTCTTGATAAAGAAGGAACGACTTCTTCTATCAAGGTCACTATGAACTCGTCTCCAATGGCTTTCAAAAGACAGAAAAGCCTGATCAAGTAATCGTGGGGCTTGGTGCGATGGCAAGGTCTTTCGATACTTATGTAGATCTTCCTTCAAAAGCTGCACTTAGATCGAATTGCATGTGTCGTCAAATACTCAGTACATGTAATCTAACGTAAAAGTTCGGAACAGACAGGAAACCTAGCGGCAGACAAACAGGTTTGTCCAGTGCATGCAAGACGCGGGTACCGCCTTATGAGAACTGCAAGGTAGCCGATGTCCTACAGGGAAGGAGATCCGTTACTAGTAGCTGTACTGATACTTCCAGTCTGCAACGTCACTGGGGTGGCTCCGCCGATAACATTGGATGTCCCTGCTGGTGGCGTGCTGCTGCTTGAGGCGCTAGCGTAGGCTTATTGGCAAGGAGGACGTGGCGGCTGCGCCAACTTATGCCTTTTCCACTGCCATTAGCGGTGCGCTACTGCGAGACAATATCAGCATTACGATATGGATATCGAAAAATCGGGAAAACTTATATATTTGCCTCGCGTCACAAAGAGGAATCCTGCGTGGGCAGCTTGGGAGCAGAGAAGCCAGAAAAGGGGTGGTTCTTCATTCCGGATCCCTCGGCATGGCGAGCGTGGTAGCAGCGCAGTTGTTGTGTTCAGGTGGAGAATGTGGATCGAACTGTCAAAGGATGGTGAGGTGTGTACCGACACTAGTACTGTACCATATGCAACTCTCGCGGAAAAACTCCTGATTATTGCCTTCGACGTTTGGCATATCGATAATGTCGTACACACAGCAGAGCAGTTGAAATGTAGCTCGAATCCTAGTATAACAATCGACTGCAGAACCCTCTCCTCACTAAAGTGGGTGTCACGGTCAAACGTCGAATCTTGACCTTTTCCAGTTGCTGACTAATGATCATAGCGCCAGTCTGTTGTTCGGCAAATTCTTCCATTTGATTCCTTCCTCCGAAGCATGCAAGCTTGTACATATTGTCTCACGAACTACCCATGTCACCCACTCCACCTCCTAGTATCCAAGGAATATGAAGACTTTTTCACTCTGATCATATTAATGTTGGTACGCATTGGACTCTGTGAGATTGTCACACGGTTATGTGCCCATGTGCCCCAAGTAAGCAGGTTAATACGCCTCGAAGCATGACGTTGAACCTAAATGCCAAGTATGAGCCCAGACACTGGATACTGGTAGGTCATCTTGAGATAATGATGAACATCAATGCACGCCGGGCCACCGCATTTCTTTTCGATGTGAAATTCGGAAATAATGTTTAGAAGAGATTCAACTACGGCAAAGTCCAGAGGAAGTGACGGTCAGAGCTTTGTATATATATAATTTGGAAGCCAGAGCGATCAGCATTCAAGTTGCGTTTTTTGTCGCCTGTGTAGCTCTGCAAATGTTGCTGATGGACTCATCTCCTTCGCCCGATGGCAAGGACATTGCGAGCTTGTGCAAGGTTAGTTGATATTCGATTCGCAGGAGACACCCATTCTGACGGGCTATGTATAAGTTCGTGCCCACGTATCTGCGAAAGAACATGGAACATGGACTGACGAGGTTGACTTGGATGCCCACAATGCAGGACCATTGGTGACTGCTATTTCAGTAACCAGCCGAATGTATCACAGTGACACTATTTAATACTGGGTTGGTTAATCCTCGAGCCCCACCCACTCTTCCAGCGACAGGCAGTGGTTCCGTCCGTACTACTTACACCCACCCATGTCGACCACAATCACTCTAGAGGAAATCCAAGCTTTGGACGTAGACTTCCTGATAGGTCCAATAATCAAATACATCAGTGGTGGGCCCTTCTGTTTTCCGAGACTGATACGCTTACCTATTATTCGGATGCCATGTAGTTGCTGCTTTAACGCTCTTTACCTGGGAGCTGAGTGAGTGAGCACTCTTGGTGACTTTTATTCTTGATTGTTGACAAAGACACTAGTCTTAACTTTTCCTCACGAGGTAAGTCGTTCATCCGGACCTGAATTATTGCGGAAGCTCAGCAGTGACAGGTTAGACTATGGGTACGTTTTGTTAAGCGGAATTTTGGTTATGTAGTGACGGGGACCACGTGTAGAACGCCAAATGGACGCCTGTAAAAGTTCTATTTTTCGTGGTGAGATAAGATCTGCATATCGATTGGGCGTTTTACCCCATGCTTCTCAGAATCGATACTTTGTACTTGGGACAACTATTCTAATAACATTTTGTGAGTTGTGCACCGAAGTTTGTTATCGACGCTCGGCGCTCATTGCTGTGATGTAATACAGTGACGTTCGATGTTACACCCACATGGGCTATGTGCGTTATCTCACCGATCACTTTTATTACTGATACTAATTCGGAACAGGTGTGAGCTCAGACACTTTTATCCCTTATAACCCCCTCATGGAAATGTCAGGTTCTACAAATACTTTCTATGCTGTCTTCGGTATGTAGTATACTCGATCAAATTCAATCGGCTTTAGTCTGACAATTCCCAGCTTTGTTACTAGTGGCCAACGTCGAAAGTAAGCTCTCTGAGCCATCTGACGTACCACGTACTTACCAAAAGTCTTAGTGATTCTCCAACTTCGGTTATATGCGCTGTACGCCTATGGTGCGTGGCAATGCAAATACTTCTGGTTGATATTGAGATGATATCCAGATAAGAGAATCGTCCTCCCTGTGTCGGCATTGTTCGTTGCGGTTTTCAGTGGCATGATGGTGATGGCAGTGTTCATACACCAGTATGAACAGAGTGAGCTTCATCAATATTACCAAGTATGTACACTGATCAAAGTTTAGATCACAAAGCTCAGATCTTTGGCATATGTGCCATAGTTGAGTCCGTGGATTGGCTGTATCTTTTCTGGTACTTACTCCATGGACTGTCTTTGCGACCTGCTCCTCATTCACCATTAGGGTACCAATGATGTGTTTAGACTTTGTTCTTGTCCTGTTAGCGGGCTACAAATCTCTTCAGCATTATTCCCAAGTACCGGACAAGACTTGGTTTGGTGCACGTCTTATGCGTGTCTTCGCGCGAGACTCGATTCTTTATTTTCTCTGGTGAGAGCACATGCAACACAGTGGGTCGATTCTGATCCAAGTACTGCTTTCTATTTTTAGTAACTTTTTGACATACCTATTCAACTCCTTGCTGGGCAAATCCGGCCCTGCTGAGTATTACTCACTTGGCACGATCATGGTCGCAATTATCCCACCTATATCGGCGAACCGTCTCCTCATCAACATGTATGACTCGGCACATGCCAAGAAAGAGAGAGATGCAACGAGGTCTGTCGTTCGCATCCATCCTTCACCAGTGTGATTGGCATGATGGTCAGAGTACACGAAGACATAGAGAGATCGCATTCATGAGTATAGAGGGTCGGGAACGGCTGACTGATGGGGCGCGTCTTACATCAGGGCATTCGCTGATTCAGAGATGCAACTAGGGCACTGGGGGTCCTTAGACTAGACCGCATTGTCTTCCATAGAGTATACTATTAATAAGACACTAACTGGAATCAAAAAAAGGTATGGAGGGTCCACTTGAGTTCGATTATATCAGTACTACCAAGCTCACATAGGTGATTCTATGATCAAAATGCTTGTCTCGAGCAGTTCTTCAAGTGTGCTTGACCAAGTCTCGATGTCAATTCAATCAGACGTTCTACTTAGGAACACTGAAGATGCTGGAAGAATCCGGTCAATGCGCAGAAATACCGAGTTTGAAGCACTAGTTTTTCTGAACTTTTGACGCATTTTCACAGTACTGGGGCCCAAACCGGAGCTACACGGACCTCCATACTTCAAGTTGCTTTATTCGCGTCTTGCATACTTTGTCTGATTTCTAATTAATGAATTGCATCCTCTGGTTACTATACTAGTACTATGATTCGACTCACAGTACTAGGGCCCGAATCAGAGCTGCACGGACCTCCATCCGCAATCAAAGTTGCTGTGTTCGCAGTCTTGCATACTTTGTTGAAATGAATTACATCCTGTAGTTATTAGTACTATTCTGGCTATCCCCTTGTCCCCTTGTTTGACGCTTGTCAGCCGGCATCAGCTATTGTGGAGCTTTTTTTGGTGGCTTAGCTGCTTAGCGCCCATACGTATTATGGTGGTGGAAGGTGACTCCAAAATGTGTTGCTTCCGAATTTATAAGTACGGATCATAATTTGGGCCAAGAACTCACGTCAACACGGCCACTGGTGTTAGTAGGCAACTTCTTGTAGACATGGTTTCATGTGTCATAAATCAAGCTAATCAGCGATTTCCAGTTCCATCGTACAATGATTAATCACATTGATTTACATAAATCATGTAAGATTGATATTCAGAAGTGATAGAGCAAAGCTGCCGATGCTGTAACTGAGAAGAGTTCGAGCCGCTTTTGCTGCCTGTGCAGCGCTGCAAATGTTGCAGTACTTGCCAATGACTTGTCACCCTCCGAGTTCGCCTAGCGCGGGTTCGTGCAAGCTTACCGTTGCAAGTCAGTTGAGAGGTATTCATTCTGACAATCGATTGCCCGGACAATATATACTAGGCCGGTGATCACTTATCTGCGATAAATGGATGATCATGATCATGAGACACGGACCTGGCATGGCCCAGAGGTCAATATTAATCTCCAAGGCTGCATCGCCACTTTCAAGTTCATTTATAAAATTGCTATTTAATAACTGCTTTCAGATCCCCGAGTCCCGCCCGCTCTTTTCTCCAGCGATAGGTCGTCCATACCCTTCCATACCGCACCCGCCCATGTCGACCGTTATCACTCCAGAGGAAATCCAAGCTTTCGACCTAGACCTCCTGACAGCCCCGACAATCAAATACATCAGCAGTGAGCCCGTTTAAATCCTTGAAACCAATATGTTCACCTACTAAGTATCATTCAAATGACATGCAGTTGCTGCTTTGACGCTCTTTACGTGGGACCTCGGTGAGCGAGCCCAGAGTCTTTGTGTTATTATTTGGGATCATTGACAGGACCATTAGTCCTAACTTTTCCTCACGAGGTAAGTTTATTTATCAAAATTTTAACTGTCGTAGAAGTTCAATGGTGACAGGTTAGATTATGGGTATGTCTGCTCAAGTATAGTATGTTGGCTAGCAAGATGACCATGACTTCTTGCAGAACACCAGATGGACGTTTACAAAATTTCTGTTTTTCACGGTGAGAATGAGTGCATAGGTCGTGCGTTTTTACTTGACGCCCCCTAGAATCGATACTTCGCGTTTGGAACAGCTATCCTAATGACATTCTGTGAGTTGTGCGCCAAAGTTTGGTGTACCCGTGTATCAATGCTCATTGCTGACATGCAATGTAGTGACGTTCGACGTCACACCAACCGATGCTATGTGCGTTGTCTCGTCGTTTTCTGTTGCTAATGCTCATTCAGAACAGATGTAAGCTCAAAAATTCTCAGCCCCTATCTTTCCTTCATTGAAGATCAGGTTCTGTAAATGCGTTCTTTGCCGTCATTGGTATGTAGCATGCTCATCCACGGGCACCAGTCTATTCAACTCTGACGCAACTCAGCATTATTACTGGTAGCGAATATTCAAAGTAAGGTTTCCGAGCCGTCTAAAATATGATGTACCCATCGAAGCCCCAAGTGATTCTCCAACATCGAGTATTTGCGCTGTACGGATATGGTACGTGATCATGCAAATATTTACTTCCGGTTTGTACTTGAATGATATTCAGACAAAAAGATTGTCGTCCCCGTGTCGGTGCTGTTCATCACGATCTTCAGCTTTATGATGATGATGGCAGTGATTGTATACCTGTATGAGAAGGGTCAGCTTCGTTAATATTTTTGAGTATATGCACTGACCAAAGTTTAGACCACGAAGCCCAGATCTTTGGTGCATGCTGTTTGCTTGGATCCGTGGATTGGCTATATCTCTTTTGGTGCTTACGTTCATGGAATATTATCGTGACCCTCACTTCATTCACCTCTTCAGGGTACCCATGATGGGCTTGGACTTTGTTCTTGTCGTGTTGGCAGGCTACAAATCTCTTCAGCACTATTTCCGAGTACCAGACAAGACCTGGTCTGGTGCACGTCTTATGCGTACCTTTGCGCGAGACTCCGTCCTTTATTTTATTTGGTGAGAGTACATACTACATGCAATGCAGCAGGCCGGTTCTGATCGAAGCACTGCTTCGCTATTTCTAGCAACTTTTTAATATATCTATTCAGCACCTTGCTGGGCAAATTCGGTTCTTCTGTGTATTATCAACTTGGTGCGATCACGATTACAGTCGTCCCACCTGTATCGGCGAACCATCTCCTCATCAACTTGTATAACTCTGCACACGACGAGCAGCCCACTTGGACGATGGCCTCAGAAGTTAAAACTTCCCTGCAACTTGCGAGAGACACGTCGAGGTCTGTCTTTCGTACATCCGACGAAGTTATTTGACAATGATATGATGCTCAGAGTACACCACGAGGCCATAGAGCTTTCATTCGTGAGTATGAAGGGTTCCGAGTGGATGGATGCGTCATTGTTTGAATGATATCAGTCGGGTTGGGAGGCTTTGTACTATATGGTTTACGAGTCCGTGCCTAAATACGAGACAATCTCGAAGCACAATACCAGTAGTACTTGCCCTACTAGATCCACCAGAGCGGAGTGAATAGGTAGTGCATATATATCGGGGTCAAAACCTCTGGACCACAATAAGTCGGTCAATGACCGAGCTAGAACTAGTGAGGTGAAGACCTGTCACGAACTTCAATAAACATCAGAACAGGGCGGACATGAAACTCACTGCACAACAAAAGAATAACACTAATAATATGCCAAATATTATAGAGAATTTTAACCACCCAGATGCACGTAGGAGACAGAGAAATAAAATCACTATCGGGACCGTGATGAGAATGAACGTAACCATGACAAGTTTGGGGGAAGGTTCGCTTTTGTGCAGGTACGAGTTCGCAGATGCCGTGTGAAGAGCAGTCGAGAGTCGGGAGACAAATATAGACCCAACGCTGCCAGGGAGTCCTGTTCTCCCGCATTATAAAAATATAGACAGTAAGATTCGCCCCACTCACCACTGATAGCGATAGCAAGAAGGGGGAACCCTTTATAGCGAGAGACGAACATATCAAGCACAATGCCACTAGCGCAAGAAATCGCCATTGCGCCAAAAAGTGGAATCCAGCCCTGGTAGAGCAAATCCTTGACACTTTTGTTACGCTTCACCAGGAGAACACATATCGTGGCGGAGAGAATAGTCAATATGCTACAAATGAGAGGAATGGGAGTATTGACGACATTAATGAGGATAGAGGAAATGGCGCCAAGAAGACTGAGTGTGAGTAGGTCCCCAAGGCCCGATGCTATCGGTGGCGCAATATTATCTGGAAATGTTTAGAATAAATGCTGAATACAATGCCAGTATCACTTGCCTGGGTCACGGCCATACCGTCGACAGACGATAACTAGGAAAGACATAAAGACACCGAGGATAATGCTCGACAAGCATGTGGATGTCATAGCTGAAGAGGCCACCATCGCGAATCTGAGATTGAATTAACCATCACGCACTAGATGCGATAACCACACATACCTGACTGAACCCGATTGCTGATTGTCACCTAGAGGCAACGACGGTCTGGGTACCCTAGCAGTGAGCGATGAAGTGCTATTCTGTGGAAAGGGGTCTACAGGACTCGAATACTGTGGGACAAAAAGACCGAGAAGCATTGCGACACAAGCTGCGACAAATGCGACGACAGTAGCTTGCACCTGTAAGAGTGCCAGATTACCACCCACGATCTTGCGTTGTGCGCCCCTGTCGTCTAGTCCGCCCATATTAGCCGCAGTTCCCAATCTAGCAGAAAGATTCATCTCTAAGTTGCCTTTGAGATTTAAGACAACAGGAACGATCATTATTAGCTCATCAATGGTGCGCATTGCCCGCCAACGCTATAGACACATCAAATCGAGACCTTAGACATCACCGCCGTACTCACTGACACACGGTCAAGGAGTTCCCCAGTGAATAGAAGGCTTATGGTAGTCATAAGAAGCGTGGGTGCACACTTTTTAAGCAATCAGAGGGATTTCTGCTTTGCAAGTTCTATCCACGTACTTCGACAACAAGGCTGCCAACTTGTGACCAGACACTTCCAGAAGGTATCCGTTCGGGTCCCCTGGTTCTTCCGCCTGAGCCCAATAAAGCGGCACTACCATCGTTTCTGATCTCTATATCATCATCAATGTCCTGCGAATCGTATGTGGGCGTCCTGTAGCCCGTCTGTGGTTTGACCAGAATTCCCTGCAGGGTATCTAATCCGATGTCGTCGCCGACATGTTGCAGAGGCGATTCTATTTCATTTGTGGAGGGCTCTTGCATGGTTTTTTTCTGAGCTCTAGCGAGTCCCAGTCCAACCAGAATGTAATCAACGACACTAGGCGGTCGAGGGAAAGTTGAGGATGTTAGATCTTCCTACGGCATACAGCGTGGACATCGACCAAACTGGGCGATACACAGGTTACGGGCCCCATACCAAATATCTAATTTGGGCGTCAACCTAGGAGAACGTCAGGACATGTATGCCAGGGGCGATGTGGGAAAATACCTTCTGTAAGCGACGACAAGACGTATATGGTGTCAGCGATTAGATTTTAATATGATCTGGTTCTCACCTGTTTGATCATCCCTAGGTTAGGCGCAAGACTTGGTTGCCGAAAATCCTGACATACCAAGTAACCACCGAACTCGTCATCAGTGCTGCCATGTTTTTCATACTGTGTCCTATGCTGCACCTTCGCTGGCACAGTTTCCCCTTTTCAAGAATACCTTGGAGACTATCCCCCTGACAATTGAACTTGAAGTGCTGGGGGCTTGCTTAGACTGCTTCGACAGAAGTCACTAGGACGGGGTAAGAATGCCGGAGAAGACGAGATGACCATCAAGGAATCTATGAGACAGAGTAAGAAGAAGATGATGGAAAATGCAAAGGCGAGAAAGAAGGTGAATGGTACCTGGTACATCAGATAGCTGGAAGAGCTTATTTTCGCCGCTGATGACACGGCTGGTGATTGAGCAGACCGAAGTCTATTGATGAGCATACCACAACCACATGACGCATTTGAGCATAAGTAAAAAGAGACTGTGGGATGACGCACGTAGCCGACATCTAATTTCTCGTAGTTAGACCTTATAAAGTTGTCCCTTCTTTTCAAGATCACCACCGCTGTGACGTCGAACGTCACTGCAATCAGTAATCAATATAGACCCAAAGGTATGGCACCACGACCAAACTTCAGTGTATAGTTCAGAAACAAAATCTCCTTAGGGTCCTAGAGATAGCTGTCCCGCCGACAAGCGCGAAGGATCAATTCTGTGAAGTATGAAGCAAAACGGTCGATCAATATGCACCATCACAGAGATTTTACAAGCATCCGTCTGCTGTTCGCGTAGCAACACGTACACTTTAACTAGACGTACCCACAATCTTTATCGCCAATTTTATTAGACGAAACGACTGTTTCCCTTCTTCTAAAGGTCTGGCTCGGGGAGGCCATATCACCGGGCAACAGTTGGGTCCGATCAGAAAATCACCCCGTGCGCGTGAGGAACTAGTGAAGCCTTGTCACAGATGCGGCGAGGGGCAAAAAGGGCTCATTCACATGCGACAATAATAGGGAGCCTTTATTTGGGTTTCGAACTCCGCTGGGACAACTGGCCATGTCCTCCTATGCATTGGATTTGAATTTGGTACCGTTTTTCTAGCTATATATATGGACTCCATCTTCCTTTATCCCTCTTCGCTTTTTCATGCACATATATGAGCCTCGTTCACGCCTGTTTGCGTACGGTCTTTGTGTTATTTCAACGGTTGAAGTAACGCAAAGGGGGTGCTCACTGGCATAGATCTACTACAGAGCGGGAGTAATCTGCTTTTGCCGTTGCAAACTCTTGTCGGGTTTCTCTCCCATCTTGGCAGGGAACCTGATAAAGGGAGGGAACTGTCTACTCAGTCAACTTGATGTGGAGTAGGCCGCCCGGCATATTGGTCTTTTTGCCTTATCCCCCCCATTGCCTTTGCTCACGTGGATGCCTTTAAGCTGCTACCTCTTCTTTCCAATGCCACTTTCCTCACCTTGAGGCGTCGCTCTGCAGCTTCTACAATCTAGGATCCGAGGTCACTTTGCTGCGTCCCTCTCACCCCTACTGCCATGGGAATTGCAGCTCATCTCGGCTCTCTGTTGCACAGGTTGGGGGCGCTATCAGGGCTTCCACCTAAAAGCTATTTGCTTCAATAAAGCAAACATTTCCTTTTGTTCTCGCTACCACTACTCAGACCGCTGTACGACAGCAAACACAAAGTATTTATCACAGCTTTGTGTAGTATTTGCAATAATGGGATTTACAAATTCGTACCCAAAAGCGAGACGATCTCGAAGCACAATACAAGGAGTAATTGCCCTACCAGATCCATCAGGGCAGAGTGGATGGGTAGAGCGTATGTATCGGGGTCAAGGTCTTTGGACCACAAAAAATTGGTCAACAACCGAGCTACAACTAATGAGGTGCAGACCTGTAGTGTACTTCAGTAAACATCAGGGCAGGGCGGACCTGAAACTCACTGCACAACAAAAGAATAATACTGATAATATCGCAAATATGATAGGTAATTTTAACCACCCGAATGCGTGTAGAGTAAAGAGGAACAAAATCTCTATGGGAATTGTGATGACGGTCAACGTGACCATGACAAGTTTTGGGGAAGGTTCGTTTTTGTGCAGGGACGCGTTTGCAGATGCTGCATGAAGAGCAGTCGAGAGTCGGGAGACAAATATAGATCCAACGCTGCCAGGAAGCCCTGTTCTCCTGCGTTATAACAATATAGGCAGTAAGATTCGCCACACTCACCACTAATAACGATAGCAAGAAGAGGGAATCCTTTATAACGAGAGGCAAACATATCAAGTACAATACCAGTGGCGCAAGAAATTACCATTGCACCAAAGAGTGGAATCCAGCCCTGGTAGATCAGATCCTTGACACTACTGTTACGCCTCACCAGGAACACGCAAAACGTGGCGGAGAGAATAGTGAGTGCGACACAAATGAGAGGAATGGGAGTATTGACGACGTTGATCAGTATGGAGGAAATGACACCAAGAAGGCTGAGTGTGACCAAGTCTCCGAGACACGATGCTATTGGGGGCGTAATATTATCTGAAAGTGGAAGAATTTTAGCGTACATGTAAATACAAGCCCAGCATCACTTTCCTGGGTCACGCCCAAACCGTCGGCACATGATAACCAGAAAACACATGAAGGAACCGAGGGAAATGCTTGCCAGACATGCGGACATCATAGTTGAAGAGGCCACCATCGTGAATCTGTCATGAGATTAACTAACACGCGCTCGATATGAAAACCGCACATACTCTATCAAACCGGACTTCGGTTTCCCACCTAGAGGCGGTGGCGGCCGAGGCACCCTAGCAGTCAGCAATAGGGTGCTGTTCTGTGGAAAAGGGTCTACAGGGCCCGAATATAGCTGCGGGACGAAAAGACCGAGAAGCATTGCGACACAAGCTGCAACAAATGCGACGACAGTAGCTTGCACTTGTAAGAGTGCCAGATTACCACCCACGATCTTGCGTTGTGCGCTCCTGTCGTCTAGCTCGCCCATATTGGCCGCAGTTCCCATTCTAGCAGAAAGATTCATCTCTAAATTGCCTTTGAGATTCAAGACAACAGGAACGATCATTATAAGTTCATCAATGGTGCGCATTGCCCGCCAACGCTACAAGCACATCAAATCGAGACCTTAGACGTCACCACCGTACTCACTGACACACGGTCAAGGAGTTCCCCGGTGAATAGGAGGCTTATGGTAGTCATAAGAAGCGTGGGTGCACACTTTTTAAGCAATCAGAGGGATTTCTGCTTTGCGAGTTCTATCCACGTACTTCGACAACAATGCTGCCAACTTGAGACCAGACCCTTCCTGTGCCAGACAGTATCCGTTCGTTCCCCCTGGTTCTTCCACCTGAGCCCAATAGAGCAGCACTACCATCACTTAGATGCTCTGCATCGTCGTCAAAGTCCCGCAAGTCATATTCGGCCAGTCCTATAGCTTGCCCGGGGTGTGACCAGAATGTCTTGTAAGGTGTCTAATTCCATGTTGTCGCCGTCTTTGCCATCGACGTGTTGCAGAAATGACTCTGTTTCATTGCCTGGGTCCTCTTGCATGGTTTATGTGCTCTAGCGAGTCCCAGTCAATCCAGAAAAAGAACTTGTGTGGTCAAGCAACTGTGGTCACTTAGGCTTGTGCTGAAAGTGACGATTGTGGATCACGTGGGAAAAGAGATTATGTAAACAACGACAAAACGCTTGGTATTGAAGGTGTCAGCGTTAAACCTTAGCAAGGTCTGGTTCTCACCTAGTTGCTCGTCACTAATCTGGCACACAGAGTATCTTCTGCTCTGCATCGGTTACGCGCGAGACTGCAGTAACCGGTCACTGGCTTTGTCCTGTGGTTTTGGTTGCCAAATCCTGACGTGCCTAGTAGCTACCGAACTCGTCGGAAGCGCTACTATGTCGTCCAAACTGCTTCACTATCCTTCACCTATTCCGACGCGGTCTCCCCTCTTCAAGAGTCCTTCGGAGACTGTCCCCCCGACAGATGAACTTGAAACGCTGCAGGCAGAGCTTAGATTTCTTCGGCAGAAGTCATTGGAACGGGCCAAGAGGGCCGGAGAAGACTTGAGGACTATCGAGGAATCTATGAGGCGAATCAAGGAGAGAGAGAAAGGCAAGGCAAAGGCGGTAGAGAAAGTGAAGCGTGAACGCCCTTGTATGTTTTTTGTTTTATCTGTCTTGGTTTGAATTTTGGCTCATGAATCTTAATCTCTCTTCCCCGGTCCACATTTTATCACTACTCAATCGACGGTTGAAAAATCCCCCAAATCTGTACATATACCGGACGTCAAATTCTCGTGGTATCCCGTTCGATCTGATGGATGCCATGCTCATGTTATTACTTCACGAACACTCCCAATCTGCCACGGTCTCGCCACAATGACGATATTGCAGTCACCCCAGCTTTAGATGGGGACGAACACGATCTTTCTTCCTCTGTCAATGGCTCTGTAAGGGCTCGAGCACCCTCGATACCGGTTTCTTCCTTCCCTCCCTCTTCTAGGGCATCACTGGACCCTCGAAGATCGTAAGTTCAAAGCCGAAGTTCCGGATGCATAGTCTCATCATTTCTCCAAACTTCCGTTAGAATACCGGATGACATCAAGAAAAAAAAGAAGAAACGTAAACGAGATGAAGATAGTGACCTCGACCAGGGTAATCTACAGAGACCATCCATAGAGACCGTGATTCAGATTCTTCGTACAGATTCCGGCCGCGCTGTGAAAACCTTGCCGGGCCCTTCTCTCAGTGTCCCTCTCAAAACGTCGAAATCACTAGGATTTGTGGCAAATCACGTCAAGGTATTTGATCTGCATTCTCTTGCACTCTATCGTTTCATTGGCGTCCTAGTCTTCATTCACACCCGACTTCACACTTCCACCCTCCACAGTACTACTACCCACCCGTCCTCCGATACCCCCTCCACCCGTTGCCGGTCCCAGTAATGCAACGGATGTCACCGAAGATTTCAGTAAGCTCAAACCGCCAGCGCAAACTCTCGTCAATACCTTCTACTCAAGCATTGAGCCTTGGATACGAGGGATTAAAGAGGAGGACGTTGGTTTTCTTGAATTTACTGCGGATGAAGTTGAGCCTTATGTGATACCGAAACTGGGCAGGCATTATTTGGAAGTATGGGATGATGCCGATATGGCCATGTATGGTGGGCCATTGCCTGGGTTTTCGTCTGGTCGATTGGGTGAGAGCTCGACGTCAGCACCGAAATGGGACCCATCGACCCTGATGGAGGCAGACCTGTTGACGGAGGAGCGCAGTCACGGGCCCTTGACAGAGCGATTAATGAGTGCCCTTTTGCCAATGCCAGATTCGACAGTGTGGAAGGGTGTCAAGGCTGCTGAGGACGCTATGGAGGGCAGACCGGGCGGAACTGGTGCTGCAGCTGCGAAGCGGGAGAAAGTCAATGTAGTTGATTTGGAGGAGAGGGTTCAGGATACGATGCGGTTCCATGGATTACTCCATGAGCCGGTGAGTATGCTTACTGGTTTTATGACGGGTGTTTCACTCATAGCCCTGTTGTAGCCCGATTTTTCGACGAAAGTCGACGACCCAATTGCGACAGCTCTCAGGCATGCCCAGCGTCAATTACGGACCGTGGTGGCCATGAACAAGGCCAGGAAAGAACGTCTTGCTGCTATTGCTCGTGATCGGCTCGGTTATCAGGAATATCTGGACCTCCGTTCCGCCCTTGATAAAAGCATAACGAGCTCCTACTCGAAAGTCCAGAAGAAGGATGAACCGAAGCTGAATAAAAAGAAAAAGAAAATATCAGAGGTTAACGGGAGCGTGAACGGGACCACTTCTGGTGCCAGCGCGCCTAAACCTTCACCTGCAGCACTTGGACTTGGTCCGGATGATGATCTTCATCTCGTAGTGCCAGAACAGTTGCAGCAACTCGTGGAGACCCGGCGGCAGTGGGTAGCAAGCGTCGGGGAGATTTTTGACGAGAAGGAGAGGGAGTGTCCTGGCCGAATATGGGACCTTCCGCGACGAAGCATTTATGAAGGGCTTGAAGACGCTATCCGCCACGATCTGGCTCGGTCGTTACATCCTCATAGTACTGCATCAGATCAACGGACTACTCAGGGAAATGGAGATGAGATGGATGTTGGATGACATAGGAGACAGTAGAACTTTGCCTATCGTAATCTATCCTATTCTCCCCGTGGATTACACAGTTTCTTGTACACTGCCTTTCCACATTACATGCGCGTTTAATTACTCCTGTACTATCCAGAAGCATTACACCTAAGACGTGATCACAGCCTCAGTATTCACCCTACATACTTCGTTATTTTGGGTTTTTTAACCGTTATCTTACGAGGCGTCTCTCCCTCAACTTTACGTTTCCTGCTCTTCAACTCCTTTACCATAAACTCTTTTGTCGTGCGGGGTGACCCTCCAAAACTAGAGCCAGCATCACCGCCCTGTGCTTGGCCGTCAGTATCCATACTCGCATGGTCACTATTTATTGGGGGCTTGGCTCCGTATGGCACGAAATGATGCTTGAGTAATTCTTTTGGATATGAGGGGCGAGGAGGATTTTGGTGTAGAATGGATGGGTGCTCCGGAGGGCTCGCTCTTGATGGCTGGGCTGAAACAACAAGATGACGTGCAATCTCTTTTGGCGCTAAGCATGGGACGCTCAGAAATCATTCGTATAACTTCACACAACAAATCACCCACCTATGTACAGCTTGCCCCTTTTTTTCTTTCTGGGAAGTAAACACGACAGTCCTCTCAGTTCCTCTGCTCTAGCGAAATCCGTATCATCGTCGCCCATCGACCATATATCATAGACAGCGCTCTTCCGCGACAAGCTACCGACCTGATCGCTCCGTGAGGACGAGGGCGCATCAATCTCCAGTCCGTCAAGATGTTGGGGTTTGACCTATAGCAAGCATATCATAAAGCTACTAATCATGCATTCTGACGGACGCTTACTGAGTCTGGAACACGTATTAGCCATATTTCTAGATCATCATCCTTCTGAACGGAGTCCCAGTCGAAAGTCTCGGTTTCGAATGCATGGTCCAATAATTTAGAACCAGGCGGAGGTTTGTAAGCCCAATGTGGGTTTTCTCCTTCGTTTTTGCCATTATCGGTGACAGTGACTGGCTGCGATTTTGACTTTTTCTTTGAAGTCTCTTTGATTTTGTTTTTTGAGGCTTTAGATGCTATTTGCGCTGGTTCTAGAGATGACATGTTTTTGATAGCAGTGACGGACCGCGGGTTGGTCTCCTGTTTGAGAACCAAATAGAAGGAAGATGCTTGTTCCCGAGTCTTTATGTATGTTATGCTATGGACCACAATGACCAAACCGTGACGATGAGAAGGTGTTCGCCTCTTTTGGATTGTTCCAATTGTTTGGCAAAGGCTTTAGAAATAAACAACGTGATTGCCCAATCATACCCGGCTGAGTTCAAATTGTCATCGCTTAACCTTTAACGTTCGGCAGGCACCCGGCCATCCCAGTACCCACGCCCACTCCGTTCGGTTGATCATCGAAAGGCGAGTGCACTCCTTGCTGTAAGTGTAGCTCGTTCGTAATGATCAGACTAACTTAAACCATTACTGGCTTGCACGTTCGCAGTTATTCGACTCACCAACTCCAAGTAGTACTCCCAGCGCCTCCCATAAGACTACACTACACACCGAAAATAGTGTTGAAATTCACGATCGAGACTTGTGCAATCAGTATGAAAGGAAATCTTTGCACCGAGGCATCCGATTGTATGGCCCTCGTGAACCATTTCTACAGTGCCAGTGATAGACACTGCAAGGGATCGATATCTGAAAGCTGCCATGAGCAATGTATCAGAATCAGACAGATAATCCTCATCGAGGTCATCGTCGTCATCATCATCATCATCATCATACAGCACAGCCGAGAGCCCCATGAGGAGCTGAGCCTACCCTGCGAGATGTGCTTGAAGTTCAGCCTGTGTTAGTTGTAGTGTGCACCATGCTTGAATTCACAACACAGGTCGTGGTTACGTCGGGACTCGGCATGCTCTCGGCAGCGCTGCGGACCTTTTAAAAATGTCGATGTGGGCTGAGCAGCCCTTCTACTACGGTACACACACACCAGAAGGATCATGACGCTGGAAAGTCCGCCAGTCCTGACAATTGCGGGAAGTGATTCCAGCGGAGGAGCAGGCATACAAGTGCGCATTTGTGCTACCTTCTCTACGGAAATCCAAGACTCTTTGACTGAAGGCAGACTTGAAAACATTCACTGTTCACGGATGCTACGGTGCAAGCGTGACTACTGCCCTGACTGCTCAGAACACCACTGGCGTACAAGCGGTGTACGGAGTTCCTCCTGACTTCGTGAAGCAGCAGGTGTGTAATTGATTACATGGTATGCTGTCCCCGATTTGGCTCAAGCCTTTCCCATAGATAAACTCTGTCCTGGACGACATTGACGTCAAGGTGATCAAGACTGGTATGCTTTTTGATACCGAGAACACAAAGGCAGTCGCGCAGATACTCAAGGAGCGCTTTGATGCCAAGGGGCACATCCCTTTAGTTTGCGATCCCGTCTGTGTCTCTACCTCCGGTCATGCCCTCTTGCACCCAGATGCCGTGGACACCCTTATAGACGAACTCTTCCCCATTTCGGACCTCCTAACTCCAAATAAAGCAGAAGCGGAACTCCTTCTTAAACAGCGCAATTTCCCGTCTCGTATCGCAAACTTACAAGACATGGTCAATGCTGCTCGACGGTTGAGGACACTTGGCCCTCAAGCTGTGCTCTTGAAGGGCGGTCATTGCGTCGTTTCGCTAGAAGATCTTGCGAATGTTTCATCGGACGACACGCAGGTGATTCGAGACGATCTTCTGGACGAGAACTTGAATATCCTCCGGATTCATGGAATGAAAGAACAGCACTTAGACTCACTCGTAGTAGATGTGCTTTGCGCATCTGACAACCACATCACCATGTTTGTTAGGACTAGACTACAATCAACAAGTACCCATGGCACTGGTTGTACGCTGAGTGCTGCGTTGGTCTGTCAGCTTGCGAGGGGTACACCGTGTTTGTGACCCTCTTTTGACTGTTTTTCTTTTTCACTTATCCCGATGAATCATACAGTAAGTGAAGCTGTAAGGCTTGCGGCTGCTTACACCCATATTGGAATTGAGACCGCTATTCCGATCGGGAGTGGCTTTGGCCCTCTGAACCATATCCATTCAATCACTCCACGTCTCGTCTCGCCGTACGTGACTACTATAAAACACATGACAATGAACTAATTACTTTGAATGTAGGCGAACCAAGACGAACCCATACCCACTCACAAGTTCTCTTATACGGAGCACAAGGGTAATTTGGAAAGAGTATATTCAACACGAGTTCGTGGTACTACTGGGCAAGGGTACCCTTCCGAAGGAAAACTTCATTCACTTTATCAAGTGAGTACTTTGTTGACAAACAAGAGAGAACGTTCTGATTGCCTCAAAAAGACAAGATTATCTTTATCTCAAATATTATGCTCGGGCGTATGCGTAAGTAGTTGGATCATCCCCGCTTCCATAGTTAACGTCTCTTCCAGACTCCTTGCAGCCAAGTCACATGCCTATGCACCCATATCGGCAGCTATCGATGTGGTTTTCAGTATAGTTCAGGAGAGCTCGATGCACATGGGTTATTGTGCTGAGTGGGGTATCACAGAGAACGAACTGATTAACACCTCCGAGTCTCCCGCCCTGACAGCTTACGGGGCTTTCCTCATTGACACTGGAATGCAGGGTCGGTGGCCTATTTTATTACCATTTACTTGCTGAAGGTATGGCTGTTAGGCGATTCTATGAAACTCGTCGTCGCCCTTGCCGCCTGCCTGCTTGGTTACGGAGAAATTGGCTTGTGGCTCAAGGAAGAGGCTCGGGCGCCCGACTCGTGGGTTCAATGGGAGGGGAATCCATACCTCAAGTGGATGGAGGATTATTCAGGCGACGTCTATCAAAAGGCAGTGAAAGCCGGACTAGGTGAGGATGCAACGAACGTTTTTGCTGCACACGACTGACTCCATGCAACTTTTCAGAGACGCTCGAAAACCGTGCAGCAGCGGACGCACCTTCACTTGTCAGGTTCGCAGATTGGCAAGATGCTTGGGAACGGTGTACGCGGTTGGAGAAAGGTTTCTGGAACATGGCGATGAAGCTTGAAGCTTGAGCAACCACGTTCATTGAACGCTTGCATAGGTTGTGTCACCAGTCCGTAATGATATTGCTGCGGAGATATATCCTACATATGCATGTTTCTTCGAACTATTCTGAGCGTATTCGACCGGTAAAACACAAGAATAACTTGAACCATAACAGAAAACCCTCAAGTTAATGTACAACAGAAACATCTTCGTATGGCAAACTCAAGACCCTACATATTGTGCAAAACCGTGTATCACTTCTTTAATTATGCAACAGCGAGCGGTGCGATGTTCCGAACACAACGTTGTGTCAACTCTATTTCCTTTGAGGACTCAGAGTCCTCACTGGTGCTTGAGTTTGTAGCGGAGTTGGTGTCTTTGAAACGAGATTGCTCCATATTAATGAGCAGGTGGTTGGCAGCTATCGGAGGTATCACAATTGTCCAGCTTGCTCCTAGCTGGAAGAACTCGGGTGGTGCGAGATGAAATACGAATGTGATGGCCAAGTAGTTAAAGAAATTGCTAGGTACGAGATTATTTTCGGCATGTAAATATGAATATCCCAATGCTCACCATGCAAAGTAAATGAAAGAGTCTCGTGCCAAAGTCTTCATGAACCGAGCACCAGACCAATTTTTATTGGGAACATGGCGGTAATGCTGTACAGATTTGAAGCCAGCGAGTACCATGATCACAAAGTCGAAGGCCATGATTGGAGTCCTATCATGCCAGGTGAGTAATTTTGATGATTTAAAGGTATCCCACCCCTCACCAGAACGGAATGAACCAGCTTGGAATCGGTGTTTCACAAACACCGAAGAGCACATACTCGTTTTCTAGGTAAAGGTGTTAGTTTGAGCTAAGTGCATCTAGACAGCCTATCATTACCTTGAGCATATATGCTCATTGCAATAGCTATTCCCATCGTACTGCAGGCGTATATGATATATAATGCCACCATGGGAATCACGATCACTCTTTCTGTGCAGTCAGGTCAGCTCTCAGAGTCTGGAGCAGCTCTCTGAACATGAACTTCATACTGTAGTCATAGAGAGCAAAAAGCCTTCGAAGAAGAATGACTATCAAGAAAAGGGTAAGTTTTGGAATTTGGAAAGGGAGATCACCCACTTTCAATGTTCGAAACGAGGAGAAGTCCTGTATTTTAAAAATTAAGTAAACAGACTGGTAGTACTAGAGGCTTGGCATCCTACTCACCAACAATGTCGAAATTTGTGAATGCATGACCTAGTAATAAATAAGGGTTACTGGTGAACAGATATGCTAGCAGGGAAATATGTACATCTGGTAGTCACTAATAAGATTAATGGTTAATGCAACAACACGAGGGACTTACATAGCAGCGACCGGATTTGTATGGACATCAACTGCGAAGAAGTGAGTCAATGCTAGTACCAATGAAGACACACAGAGAACTGACAGAAGGTCGAGGCAATGATTGTAGCAAGTCCAAAATATCGATTCTGAAAAAAAAAATGATATCAGGGAGATTATAACTTGAATTGAACCACATACAATGAAGAACAAAATCCTAGATGTTGTCCACTTCGTTCCCTAACATAAAGTGGTGGCTGTGTTATGATTCGGACTTGGACAGAATTGACTTGAGCCTACCCATAGAATATTGACCTGGTCAAAAATGTAAGTTGTAGCTTTGTTTGAAAATAAATCCAGTACTTCATCATGAAATGTCAGAACTTGATAAGATTGTAAATTTATCAGACTGTTGAAAATTATGCAGTCTTTTTTGCGCACCGAAGTCCCATATGTACAGCATAGCAGCAGAGACTGAACAAATAGAAGTAAACATTTGAACATCTTCGTGGCACCTGGTCCAACTGTTGAATCTCACCTCCAAGTCGACGGACAATGGTGTCATACACCACATATTGTTCAAGCTGCTGGAACTCTGCAGCGATACTTGAAGCATTCATGATAAGTCACTTGCAGGAGTGTGTTTGTACATCAAGCTGATCATGTTACCCTCTTTATGTCCGATTTTTGATGAGGGAATCTAAGTCACACCCGGAGATTATTCACCAGAATGCAGTACCAACACTTGACAAACAGATGTGATCAACAACTGTGCTGTGTGATGAGATACATTCCTTCAGCCTGATGCATCTTGAATCTTTGATTGACTCGGACGAAGCCGATGGGAAAATTTATATTCTGAATGTTGACCTTGAATGATGAAATCATGAAAACTGTGTTCTCCGATTATGGAGCCTGCAGTTCAGAGTCAAGATGATCAGTCTTTTCATCAATGACCATGTGGGCCAGTAACAGTCTGACCATCATGATGGCACCCAATGCAAGTTTTATTTATTGTCCTTCGGTCAGAGACCATATGTGGGATAGTAGCTCTATTTCAAAGAGGGGCTTACTTGAATATTCCTTACAGTAGTAGTAGTACTACTACTGGTACCCGTGGTACATCGGATGACTAAGCACAATTGATGAAACCTATGTTCTTCGATCACGCGGCTAGTGCAGAATCAAGATGGTCAATTCAACACGCGGAGGCATGGCAGTGACAGGTGCGCGAGTAGCTAAGGCACCTGATGCCTCCGACCAAATGTACAGCTATACTATACATAAAAACGCCATTGAGAAGAGGTATCGCGGACCATATCAAGAGAAGGAAGCAATGATAGGTATACCAATCAGCGTTTCACAAACGCATCGAACATCTAGATTCCGAAGTGAACGGAACGGCGAGCGTTGCAGCTTCACGATATATCAATCTCCAAATCCACTGGAGTCGGTGCGTCAGTCTCTGCATCGGCAGCAACTTCGAAATCTGCATCCGGAACGTCTTTATCTTTTTCTACCGGTTTTGCGCGGGCTCGGGCTCGGGGTTTCGCCGTTCTCCTTGACTTCGTAGAGCGAGGGGGTGCCGCGACCGGCACTTCTTCTATCTCCTCCCCGTCCTCTTTTGCACTGGCACTCGGTCTCCCTCTTGCCTTTCCCCGTGCCCGCTTTCCTGACGCACGGGGCTTTCTTGAGCTGACGGTTCTCTTCACAGATACAGGGCCCTCGTCCTGGTCCACATCGTTGTCCCCTTCAAAGAACTCATTACGCGCCATTGACCGGTCGCTTCTTCGTTCTCCTGCGAGCACAGTTCCCCGCTCTTCATCGATTTCCTCCTGTTTACGTTCTTCGTCGGCAAGCCAACCCTCCAGGTCAGGCGGTATTTCTTGCATGGCTACACTTGGTGCACCCTGCAAATACCGCAGTTTATTCCGAATGCTAATAGTTATTCGTTGCAATGATGCAGGGGAGTTTTGGTTCTCGACGCGTCCTGTGAGGGGTGGATGAAGCTTCCACTGCGAGTCGCGAAAGAATGGATCATAAACTGTAGCTGGAAGCTCATCAGGTATTGTCGCCCCGACAAGAACGGCAGTTTCATATGTCCAACAGCGGCTGACATTTTTTATGGTGTAGCCGCCTCCTCCTAATACAAGCAGTGGTACATTGAACTTCCTGACAAAGTTCACGCATTCGCCATGAGCTGCGATGGATAGATTAAATGCCCCAAGTCGGTCACATCCTAACGAGTCTGCGCCGCACTGCAAGACAATAGATGTCGGGCGGAAAGCCGTGACGGTATCTTCAATGACAGTTTTGAATATTGTCAAGTACATATCATCATCGATCCCGTCTTGTAAAGGCACATTCAGGCAAAAGTGCTTGCCCAAGCTTGTACCGTTATCGTCGAGTTTACCCGTCCCAGGGAAGAAATCGCCGGTGTATTTGTGGAAGGATACCGTCATAACACGATTCGAATGGTAAAAACGCGAGCTCTACACCGTCCCCGTGATGGATGTCGATATCTATGTAGAGGACTCTGGGATGATATCTGTACAACTCGGAGTCAAGTTTAGGTATCACCTAGTGAAACAACCGCTCACCTCAGAAGTTCAAGGATTGCCAGAACAATATCGTTGACATAGCAGAAACCACTCGCTTCTCCACGCTTGGCATGGTGAAGCCCACCCGACCAATTAATTGCAGTATCACAAGCACCTGCCGTAAGCTTCCTTGCGCCTGCAAGGGAAGCTCCAGCATACATACGACAAAAATCATACATTTCAGAAAATATTGGGCAGTCTTCAACACAGTTGAACGTGTCAATGAGATGCCGCATTTCGTTCTGGTTATTTGGCGTCACGCTATATAATGCCATAAGGTGAACTATCAACAAGGTAGTATAAATTCCGCACCGTGAAAGAAAGTCAATGTAGTCGTGGTCGTGGTACATCTCCAATTCAGCTTGAGTAGCTGGACGGGGATTATATATGTGATGTATTTGCTTGTCAAGACCATAGCCCATGACCAGGGCATTGGTCAAGGTCAGTCTGTGTGGTTTCATCGGATGACGTTCCTAGCAGTGCTTGGTGAGAGTCAAGCCTAGCGATATAAACGAGATGACGCATACCCCATAATGATGTTCACCGACGCCTTTAGGGAAAAAATATGAAACTATAGGACGAGAATGTGGCTTTTATTCATCTCTAAGGAAGATAATTCATTAATCAAGAAAGTAACTTACATTGACATGTTCGGTAATCGGCTGAGCAGTACCGTGCGGCCCCCGATCGTCGAAGTAGGCAGAAGATGAGAAGGTAGTCGCCTGTGAAGTACGAACCATGAATGCCTATTGCGATCTGGCTGCACTACGTAGAATGCACTGCAGTTTCTCTGTATTAGTAGCCTGAGAAATGTTGTCTTGAAGGATGAGATACGGTGGCTCGTAGTACGACTCAACTGTGCGCTGCCACGTATGAAGAATAAAGATCCTTGAAAGATCTTGACGGAGGGGATTGGGTTCTTGAAGTTTCTGGTCCAAGTTAAGCTTGTCAATTGAGACTCATGCTCGCTTATGTAATGTTAAGGCCGTCATCCGTGATGCTAAGCGTTCTTGCCTAATTCTTGCCTAGCTCTTGCCATCATGTTGCGTGCGTATCGCTGGGTGTTAGCAACCCTTCCATTTATCGTTTTTGTCGCTGCTTCCTCCGGTGACAGATCATCAAATTTTCAGAACTGCGTATCTGCGTGTTATGGGGACCATTGTCATCCTCAACGACGCTTTCACTTGCGCTCAGACTGACGCGTTGGACGTGTACAGACGACTGCAAGTACCAGTGCATGCACATGCTCACAGATATCGCAATCCGTGGAAGTTCGACTATACATCAATATCATGGAAAGTGGCCTTTTTGGCGGCTCTTCGGAATGCAAGAGCCAGCCTCTGTCGCGTTCTCACTGTGGAATATGTACTATCATATCCAAGGATGGCGCCAGATTCGCAGTAGAATGCCAAGCAACCATCCGATGCGATCTTACTACTTAACATGGGCTATAGTGAGCATTAACGCCTGGCTCTGGTCCGCAGTGTTTCACACAAGAGGTCTGCCCTCAAATTATGTGTGATCACGTTTACTTATTGACTCCTTGAAGATTTGCCAAACACAGAAAAACTGGATTACTTCTCTGCTGCTCTTGTCATCTTATATTCCCTGTATCACACGGTTCTACGGCTCTTTAATCAATACCCCACCCGTTCGTGTGAGGATGGCCGTATTCAGCGCACCCCCGTACACCTCCTATGGTCGTCCATCTGCATTGTAGCTTACCTTACCCACATCACCTATCTCAGCATTCTACCGCGGTTTGACTACACCTATAATATGGCATTTAACCTTACTGTTGGCATCACGCATAATCTGCTGTGGCTGCTATATGCCCTTCCCGTATCATTACCCCTCATTCAACGCTTTCCTTTCAAATCAAGAACGTACAGACCACCATACGCATATAAGGTTGTAGCCTTTGCCGCTCTCACGACGGCTGCAACTGCTCTAGAGCTTTTCGACTTCCCTCCGTGGGGTCGCATCATCGATGCACACGCTTTGTGGCACCTCAGTACCGCCCCTCTCGCGAAGTTCTGGTATGATTTCTTGATTAAAGATTCGTTGGATGATGGATGGAGGGAACCAAAAAGGTGAAGACAAATTTGCCTTTATTAACTGCCTCGTAAGTGCGCTAATAGTGTGGATTCTAGTTAAAAATGTCCAAGCGTCTCAGAGTTCCTGCTCTAAAGACTGTGCTTTCTTCTCCGTTTCCGCGCAAGGACGAGTAGAGAAACTGCTCCATCGTTAGCGTATTCACTTCGTCGCTTCAGCATACCGCACCTAGTACTGTATCCAGGGAATCCACCACAGATGACTCGATCTCCAAAAATGCATGTTGCGATATCATCCCTACAACGGCGTAGCGCTTGTGGGGATAGAATGTTGCTATGGGGTTCGAACTTTGCGCTCCACCCTCATCAAGGCTGCGAAGCTGTCACTTGTCAGCTACACCGTAGAAATATCGCTGTGCTATTTCCTAACCTCCAAATTGGAACCTGCTATAGTCCAAGAGAAATAGTTTCCCTCGCCGTCATCAAATTCCCATCGACTGCACAATATAGTAAAACAATCGTCCAGCATCACAAAGATGACCATACCTCTGTTGGCCTTGACCCTTGATTTTCCGCAACCATAATGCCTCGTTTATGAACTCTCCGTTATACATGCTGACTGCGACGGGTTTGCCTGACTGGTTTCGGATGTTGCCGACAGTGTCATAGCGGTCTGTGCGAGTGTCCAGTCGGCGCACTTTCGTCTGATGTGACTCCCACTCAGGGGTTAACACCTCATAGTAGAGTGCGTCAGTTGGGTTGGAAATGACGAGATTCTGAATGCTGGCAGTAGTAAACGTGAGTCTTTGGGTCATCGTTGGCATGAGAGAGATATTGGCTTAAGACGAGATGAACGCTTGAAATGTATTCTCTGCTTAAATACTTGAGCGATCTAACTCACACTCGATGCTCGTCTTCACACAATTTGTTTCGGCTTAGACTCAGGATCACAAATATCCATGTGAACGCCGATGGGAATGAGAAAAAGACCAGTGGTGGTACTTGTTGCGCAGTCCCCTACTCCACTTGGCCAGTGTTGGATCGTGGGTAGCCGCGGAGCTTCCGCCAGAACAAGCCTCGCAATGCATCGGAGTTGCAAGGATCGCAGTCGCACGCGGAGGAGTCAGGAACTGGTAATGTACTGTGTCGTTTCTAGGATGCAAGTATGTACTGACACTGGAGGATCCGGAGCGAGGAAATAAACTAAATGATGATGTCAAGACCCCTGCCTTCGGACCATTCACCAAATAGGAGGCTAATACTTTCACCGTTGTGTGTGCGACGTATGCTTTCAGCGATAGTAGAACTAATGTCCAGCGCTATTAATTTCGGAAATTGTTCCTTGTGCTCGTTTTGCGGAACGGTATTTGTGACCTGCAAGGCATATTAGCAGCACAATAAAAGCCATGAACGACTCACCACAAGCTGCTCTATAGGAAGGCTATTCAAAGAAGCCATGTGGGCTTCGGCGAAGAGTCCTTCAGGGATCCTCATCAGATGATTGGTAATTGCATTCTACATAACACACGCACCGTGCGAAATAAGAACGTAAATAGTTTTGGCGCCCTTCTCATGCAGCGTCCGAGCAGCGAGTGTGAGCGTGTGGCCAGTATCAATCATGTCATCCACCAAAATAGCCACCTGGGGTAAGCATCAATAAGGTTTCGAATAGACTATAAGAAGCAGGTGATTCCTTATCTCGAACATCTCCTACTAGAAGCTCCATGCGTTCTGGAGCATTTTGAGACTTCCCATCACGTTTCCGGTGTATAAGGGCGAATTCAATGCCAAGTTTGTCTGCCATTGCAGTGACCCTATCCGCAGCTAAGCAGTGAAACTGACGTCAATCCCCCGAAACAAAATAACACGGACCTCTTGGCTCCACCGGCATCGGGACTGACAACAATACCATCTTGCCACCCATCGATGTGCCTCTTGATGTAAGACACCATCAAAGGCTCTGAGAAAAGATTGTCCACTGGAATGTCGAAAAATCCCTGTATCTGGCTAGCATGCAGATCCATAGTAATGACGTGATCACATCCCGCGCTGACAAGCATGTTTGCAACCAATTTCGCTGTTATTGGTGCTCTAGACTCATCCTTTTTGTCCATTCGGGCATACGGGAAACACGGAATCACAGCGGTGATGCGACGGGCGGAAGCAGTTTTGCACGCGGATATAAGGATCAGGAGTTCCATCAAGTTGTCGTTCACATCGCTACACCCTGACTGGATGATGAAAACGTCTTCTTCCCGGACGGATTCGGAGATCTTGACGTTTATCTCGCCGTTGGAGAATTTTTTGGGCATGCATGGCGTGAGGGGCACTCCAAGCCTATGTGGGTGAATCACTAGTCCGTGGGCTGTTTTGCTGCATCATTTAAAGCGGCAGCTCACCGCTCGGCCACGGCATGGGCGAGCTCTGGGTGACTATTGCCTAGAGAGCCAAAATCAGCGGAAGGAAAGTACTGGTGCCAGATGGACATACCCGCAAGAAGTCTGATAGAATTTCCGTGATACATAATTTATAAAATTGCTGGATGGCTTTATAACATAGAACAGGGTGAAGAAGAAGAAAAGGGTGACTGTTGCAATTGGGTGAACCGTGACACAGCCGACTGACACTAAAAAAATGTCGATAAAATGATCTTGTTTGTGCAGCACAAATAATCTACATCTACACCGCCACATCAAGAAGACACTCTAATAGTGATATTTTCTACAACATATTCTGTGTCTGCATAGCCAAGGATATGAGCTATGCGGGCGCTGAAGACAGCTGAATGAAAACACGACGAAAACCAGAAACGAAGAACCCACCTGTTTAGGCCCCTCACACGCGATATCTGCGCAGAATTGTAGTTTGCTAAGCCCCGTCCCACTTCTACACAATCCCAGATTTCGCATTCGTCCATCTTCTCGATCAAAGGGATCTCATCGTCCGTAATCGTCTGAGAATCAGATATCATATCATCTGATAAAGATGCCGACGACCCAGAACGCGAGAGTGGAACAAGGGATGTGACTGAGGCCGTCACTGACGCCCCGGGTTCTAGGACCGGCGTGCATGGTGTCGTTGCGGCCACGTTGGAATATGGCATTTGTGCAACTTCCTTGGCCTCAACTTGAACTCCTTCAGTACTGCGCTGGGCTAATATACGAACTGCTTGGCCAGAGGCAAATGAACCTCGAACTCCGAGCACCCCAGCTGGCAGCAGGCGGCCACCAGATTCTCGACGAGACAATACGGCATGTGCCCCGGAGTCAATGATCACGCTACCTGCTGGATAAAGGGTATGGCTCGTCCATGCCTTCAGGTCCCGCATGGGAATCAGGGCAGGCTTAAAGACCGTATGTGGAGGCCTTGGCCAACTGAGGGATGCGGCAACTTCATCCAAATCGGCCTGATTAAGCTTTTGTGGAGCGATCGGGCTAGCAGTACCTGAAGTGGGTACTGACGTGCCCTTCAGTGCTGTGTAGTAGTCGATGATATCGACAATCACTGAAGGCTGTTTGCTGGATGCGATAACAGTTGTTACGCCAGCACCAGTTGCAATTTCAGCAGCGATTAGTTTTGTTTCCATTCCGCCGGTTCCAAGGCTAGATCCTAGCGTCGATGTGCTGACTGGAGGAATAGGGTTAGGAACAACCAAATCATTACTGTATCCGATCTGGATCCGTACCTTGTGCTCGGATAGCAGCAACAGAGATGACCACATCAAGCTTTTTCGCGGAAGGATCTTTTCGTGGGTTGGATGTATATAGACCATCGACGTCTGTAAGCAGGAACAGGTAATCGGCATGAATCATAGAACTCGTAATAGCAGACAACGTGTCATTGTCGCCAAATTTAATTTCCTGCGGACAGTTAGCCCGTGTTGCTATTCAAGATATCTGTAGTAGACACTTACGCTGACAGATATGGTGTCGTTTTCGTTCACGATGGGCACCACGCCCATCGACAAAAGTTCGTTTAGTGTATTGACAGCGTTCAAATATCGTGTGCGCTGGGATGTGTTCAATGCTTGAACAGGGCGTCCGCGGAAAGTATCTTACATCGGATATATCTCCTCTTGTTAGCAGAACCTGAGCGGTTCGCTGATCAAACTGCCCGAAGAGATTGTCCCATAGTGCAATGAGGCGTCCTTGTCCTATCGCTGCCAAAGCCTTCCGTTAATCAGTCCTAATCTCAGAAGATGCAGAAGGAAGACACACCTGCTTTTTAGATAGGCTTTTTGGTCTCTGTGGGATATCCATCGTCCTCAATCCAACTCCAATAGCCCCAGAACTGACGAGCACCACTTTGTGTCCATGGCTGCGCAGACTAATAACGGTCTCGACGACCGCAGAAAGTATGGATAGGAGGGGCTGGTGTGTTTCTTCGTGGACGATGGAGGATGTTCCTACAGGGTTTTACAGATTACACATCTGCGGGAGGTGGGGTGGGGATACTACTAGTACTCGCCAAGCTTGATAACGATCGTGCTAGGAGTACCACGTTTTGCTGGCCGTGACATTTTGCAGAGCTCGAGGATGTAGATGTGGTCGCGTTGAGAAGATGACGAGTAACTTTATGACGGGCGACTTTCTATGACGCTGACTCGGACTGGGCCAATATAAGTCACAATAGAATGGCCTGGAGTCTTCTGGTAGTTTCAGGTGTCGGGAAACCGCACACTAGTTGTATGTCAAAGGAAGAGCGAGATCGGAACAGCAGCAGCAGTACTAGTAGGTGACATTGAAATGATTGGACATGGAACGGCGGTAATGTGAGTCATGCCTTTGGAAATAGTCACCGAATCTAACATAAGTTCATTCGTCTGCGTACCGTTTATACCAGAATATACAAACATCATAGCTAAATATGCATACAACACATCCACAGGTCATATGTAGAACTAACGACTCCAATCGCGCAGATGGCCCAAATTGTTAATTCATGGGAGCCTTGGCAGCTTCCTTCTCGCCCTTTAGGATGCGCTCGAGGTTGGCACCGATGCGACGGCGCTGATCAAGGGTAAACTCAGGTTCTGGTGCAGAGTAGCCGAGCTCTGTGGGTTCGGTGAGTATGGTTGCAAGAATGTGCTCGTCGTAATAAACTCACTCAGACTCGGGTATTGTATGGGTAACTCTTCAGTCTTCACCGGGAGAGCAGACAGATCAAGAGGGAATGGAGGGCCAATCCACGCATTCCGGAGTTCATGGTCTCTGGGAGGTCACTGTCAGGTGTGTTACACCGGCAATGATCTGTACTCACGTTCTCTGTAAAGGTGCCCGCGCCACGCATCGGTCAGTTAATCAAATGCTCACTAAGCAAATGAATTACCGCTTCACGGGTCAGTGGGTGCACGAGTATGCTTTGCAATTTGGTTGCAATGAGGTGATGAGTCAACTTGACTGAGAAGAAATAAAGAAATACCTTAGATCACCCCTGTTCATACAAAGGTACGAAAATACGGAGGGAAACGAGGTCGAAGGGACCCAGATCTCGTATGAGCCTGGGATCGACTTGGAAATGATTTATTTCCAGGAAGGGTATGATAGGCACTTACCAACTGGATGGGGGCCGATAGGATCGGTGTTCACACGAAATAATGGCACAGCGACGAACGCTCCATCACGCCTTAGACGAAGGACAGCATCACGCAAATCCAATGCAGCCTGATGCTGATCAGCGTTGCGCTGATGGAAGTAGATATCTGCACACAATTTTCAGCAACTAAGAGATTGACACTCATACTCTCAACTCACGGAAGTGCCACTCTCTGTCATACACAGCGCGAACAAACCATGTCAAAGAGTCAATGATAGTGCTCAGTAATGAACTCGGGACACTTACTTGATCTCTGAGTTAACAACTTCTTCAAGGTCGGTTGGTGGATGGTAGTCTGACATTATGACCCTCTTTGAAAAAGAAGTTTGGCTCCGCAGTTGGTCATAGCTACCAGTACTAAGGGTGATATATTTGTAAGTGTCATGCATCGCCACGCGCTTGAAAGACGATCAGCAGACTCCGGAGACGGTATGCCCATGTGACACAGGCGCCGGGATTGCCACAAGCCTGGGGAAAGACATAGTATGTTGTACGTGCCAAGTGTGTCATGCCAACTATTAGTATTTACCATATATAGCCAATCGCGTGCAGTGGCGGTGACGACACAGTCCGATCAAAGTCGCACCTAATCTCGATTGGACCGAGGATTATCGATTATCTCCGTTCTCCACACAGACTCATCCGCTCACCACTTGACTCCGGCATCCATTTCGCGATGAATTTGCCAGTGTCGATGTCCCACGACTTCACTCCACCGTCCCCACTTCCACTACCCACCTTCTTCAAGTTCCTGTCCGAAGACAACCCCATGGTTCATAGCCGTCCCGCCTACCTATTTCTCACTCTTCAGGTTCCATACTCGCAATGAGCCATCACCTGAACAAGTCATGTAAGGAGCAGTCACGAGTCCAAGTCTAGACATCTCGCACACGTCCCTCGCTGTTAAATCGTCATGGCACGTCCCTCCTTGCCATCATCTTTTTGCGCCTGCAAAGATTCAAATCAGTACCATTCGAATTTCGCCTCTTCATGAACTCACCGATTTTGTTCTAGACTGCCGGATTCAAATCAAATCTCGTCTGCATATGTTTGCGTGGCTTTCAGCAGGACTTTTAAGAAGTCGCGCCCAAGCTATTACTAGTAAAGTTAGTGGTTCTTGGTAAAGGCACTAGTACCCGGGGAGAACGTTAGCTCTGGTTGCGAGAAGTTTTAAGCACAAATGATTCGCACAGAAGATTGGTTAGCACTATGGACACACCAGCTAGCTGATTTGTGAACAAGGTTGGAGAAATTACAATCGAGGGGTTGAATACCGGCATGTCAGCTGCTAAGTGCACTCAGATGGGCGACTCATCACCAATTGGCTCCAGCAACTATACCTGCAGGATTGATAGACATTGCCGTCTGTTCCAAGACAAAAGTATGATATTGAGGGTAGTAGTAGAGAGGATCATTCAAATCAAACTTACAAAATAGGTGTCGGTGTTTGGCGCGGCCGAGTGCCGTTACGATCGTCGTATTATTCGCATGGCAAAATGAAATCCAGTCTCGTCGTGTCGAATCATGCAAAGTCAGCAAGATATAAGGATGGAATCTCACGCCATGTGCAGGTATGAAATTTTCACCCGTCGTAGGTGTTCCTATCATATATAAGTACATTAATGTGTGTCCTGTCTGCGTTAGGCTAGTCTAGTACACTGATATTGTTACAGAAAATCAGGCGAGTTGTGCCCGTGCAACTTGTCCAAACAGAGTAAAATACAGTTAGTGTCTAGTTATTCCTCCGATGCATCAAATGAACTTCAGATATATGCCGCCACACGGAGGAGCGCAGCATGACGTTAATTGAGGGATCACCTCGCCTATGGTACACGCAGTGTTCCCATTGGCACCGCATCATCGCATCTTGGCATCCAGGAAGATGGCTGTCATGCCAATGCTGTTTTAAATCTTCCAAGGTTCCTTCATATCCGCAACACGCATTGTTATGTACCCACCGGCAGGCACGGGGGAGGGGAGATGGTTGATTGATTGGTGGCTCCGACTGGATCGGAGGGTGCTGAAAACTGGAGTTCACGCCTTCTAGATCGTGAGGATATAGCACACTTTGCGAGGGGCTAAGCAAGACAGTAGTCCCGAAATTGCCTGGTGTCCACAAGGCAACGCTACTCGTGTTGTTAGACTTATGTAAGGAAGGTAAGGAGCGCACTAACTTGGGGTTTGCCATCATAGGTACGACGGAATGCATATCCGAGACAGTCATATTGCATTGCGAGGACATGGGCGAAGTGTGGCTGATCGGTCCCAGCCTGTGTATGAGCATGAGGGCGAATATGAACAAATAAGTGACGAAAGGTATACGAGGATGCATGTGAAGACATGTAGACATTTCCCGTAGCTGGATGACCGGAGGTCCTGGACCCAGCACCTCCTATATCGTGAGGGATTGGTGAATTATGCGGGAAACCATGCGAGACAGCATTTCTGCTCGATGGACTGTCTGACGCCCATGGGGCGATGCTGCTCATGTTAATATATTTATATAAGGATGATAAGGAGCGTACTAACTTGGGACTTGCCATCATATGCATATGGACGACAGCATGCACATCCGAGTCCGACGTGGTCGCAATGTGTTGCAAGGACGCAGATGAACTGTAGTTGTTTGGACCCAGCCTGTGTACGGGGCTCATTATGTGAAAAATAAATGGTGACAGAGGGCATACATTTGGAATGCACATTCGTTGCTTCCCATCGCCGGACTAGCCTGAGAGCTGACACCGCTATTGTGCTGGTTGCTTTGGGGGGTTGGCGCATCATGCGCAAAACTATAATTGCCAAGTGCTGTTGATTTTTGTGGTGTTGAAGCAGACATCTTCAAGTTGTGGAATGGGAAAGGCAAGTTTGTTATAGGGGAGAATGGGTTTCCCCCGTATCTTTATACTATACCCCATCGCAGCAAACGAAAAATGTCCAGTACCGATATCTGTGAAATTTATTATCGTGAAATGATCTAAAGAGAAGGTCCGCGGTCTTACGTCGCCTGAAGAAATCGTTAATCTGACATGGTTGAAACGTTTCATGGTGAACAAAGCACGCTCGGAATGGTGTATGGACTCTTTTCATACCATTTTACATAACCAACAGTCGAATGTACCTTGGCGGTGGTAACTTTACTTGCCACGTGGTGAGAACCAGCGAGCGCTGAAGAAGACCTGTCGGTGAACCTGCCGTTTAGTAGCTGATGTCATGTTGCGCTGCCGAATAGTTACGGTTATCATCCATACTTAATCACTTACTCTAGCCCGTGCTGAGGATCCTAGTACAAAGCTTCAAAGCTTGTGCGGCCAAACTTCTGCCAGGGCCCTGCAGCAGCCTCATCCTTGGAACTCAACTTTCGGCATCAGCTGAGAATTCAACGAGGAGTCCATACAATGTTGCACCACCATTGACTGATCAGGCCTTCAAGTGTGATAGCATAATTAAATTTAAGTCCCACCTGTCGAGCAATCACATCTACGCCAAATCACCTGGGCGGTCATGAAATTGCACCGAAATCTGCGTTCGAGTCGGCAGAAACCTTGTCCTAGTAAATGTTAAGTTGGTGTTCTGACGTGAGAGTTTTACTGGCCTTGATGCGACTTTTGGCCTAAGATGAAAAAGCACCGAAATCTGAATTAAATTTAAGTCCCACCTGTCGAGCAATCACATCTACGCCAAATCACCTGGGCGGTCATGAAATTGCACCGAAATCTGCGTTCGAGTCGGCAGAAACCTTGTCCTAGTAAATGTTAAGTTGGTGTTCTGACGTGAGAGTTTTACTGGCCTTGATGCGACTTTTGGCCTAAGATGAAAAAGGTGAGTTGCAGGCGGGTGTGACCCTACACGTGGGACCTCCTCGCTGAAGTTGAGCGACTAGGAGCTGTCATCAATGTACTTAGGTACCTGAGCTTATGTGAGCATAGATGGGTATCTTGGCCAGGCTAATTTTGGGACAGGCACAATATGTGCAAGTTGGCAACCTTCTTTCTCTCCATTACATAATCGCTTATGTTATTCCACGTGCTTTCAGACTCTGTTGAATGAGCTGACGAGGTACTTTTTTCAATTTCTGTCCTTTGCAGATATGTACTCTATATAGGACAATACGCTCTAGTCTTAAGGACCCCCCAGTATCCCATCGCATCTCCGGGTGTGCGAATGCCCTGTTGTGAGGCATACCCCAATAGTCCACCGTTCACGTAGGTCGTTTTATACGTGCCACCCTTGCTGATGCAGATGAGTGGGACTATCCTATACGTACTACGTGCCTGAGTGACATCGGAACTCGGGAGCTAAACATGTAAGTAGTACAAGTACATTACATCACATCGCTGTTCGTGCTGTAGGAATTTACCGGTTGGCCGAAGTTGGCGAAGGGTGATAGAAACCTTAAGTGTCGAGTAAGGTAATCAAAAGGGTCTGAAACCAAGATGTTAATGACTGACAAATCTAGACCGGCGAAAAAAAACGCAAAGCTTAAGGATAACAAAGAAAAAGACTCCTGGGCCTGATTGAGGATAGCACCATACCACGTGTTGACCGCGGGCCTCTACAACCCCAATTGCAAGAAGCCCTCATGCCAACCATCTCAAATTTTACTCTTTCCAAGAACGGCATCTTCTCGTCGTTCATTCAGATTCCTGAGATAGATCTCGGCACCTTTATATAGTCAACAACAAGGTGCTCAATATTTGGCATCTCGAATATCAGGCGGCTCTGCAAGCTCGGCGGCGGCAGCGCAGCCAGCACTCCTGATTGCCACAAGCCTGCGCTTGAGCACACTAGTAGACGAACCAGCCTCCATTTGAGGCCAAACTTCAGTCTCTCACTTAGAGCGGTGGTCCGAATTTTTGGACGAGTAATAGGGATCACTCCTATCAATATAAGATAGCTGGAATGATGTCACGGTAATGCGACTGATGATCAAAAATGACGAAAATAAGGGTTGGGGGCTCCCCCTGCACAGAATATGCTGTAAGTTGTGAAGTGAACGCGCACCGCAAGGCACGATGGCCTGGGTAAACGTAGATATCAGCTCAGACTTCCAGTGAACTGAACGCGAGAACATTGAACCAGTAGGTTTGATGGAACGGGCAACATTAACCGGTTACCAGTAATTCGCAAGCATGGCAAGCGCCAATCAGTTGATTCTCCACCAGCGCATCCTGATACTAATCTACTGCGACAGTGGCCGCTTGTTGGCCGCATGATAAATCACATAGCGACAGATTCTGTCTATCGGGAATTTGGCAGGGCGGTACCTGTCTCATTGCACTGGCTGCTGGTTATGCGGACGTGATCTTGTTGGTCTGCCAATGTCATAATAATATTAACATTCATGGCGGTCCAACCATATATAGATACCGGTGATCAGACATTTGGGTGTGTGAGTTTTTATTTCACGCTTCAACAAAGGGTCCAACCAACGAAATGGCTGCTGTCGTCTCCATCCGAGTCTCCATCCTGCGCACAATCCCCCACACTGGTAACTAATCCTGCGGCTCCTGTTTTCATCCACCTTAATATTTTGCGCAGCATGAGTTTCGTAACTGTTGTTCGCATCTCCAATCCGGGAAGAGCAACCTGCACCCCCATCCACCCTACTGCCTTCCCTCGCTGCCAGCCGTCTCGTTCACGAGATGAAGAATAATTCTTCCCATTCACCCACATGCTATGACCGAAAAACCTTTTTCAACGGACCCGAAAGCCCTTTTCTGGTCACCAAATCAACTTTTCACTGGCAGCTGACTCCCTGGTCTCTTTCACCGGTCGTGGTTCTTCGTACGGTTTCCTTGTGGATCGTATCCCATGTCCTACATGCTTCGTGCTGAACGCCGGCCTGTTCATGGCTTGTATTTAATCTACAGAAGCGTGTTTTTGTGCGACGAACACGTCGGGGTAGTTGATATTGACTACACTACATTTATTGTTGGTACCGATACCTGTGTGGCCCACCGTGAGGTGTCCTATCAAAGCAGCAGCGGCCTCGCTGTCGAGCTGCTGGACAACTGCAAGCTCATTCGGCGAATTCGGAGTTCGAGATGGATATACTGACTATATTCCCAGTACCCATACTTTTTCCCCATTCGATGACATGCTCGCCGAGGAGTCCCCTGCATCCTAGCAACTTATTACATTCCTGCCTATTGATATTCTCGGGCAAGACCACAGTTTCAAGGTTATGTAGCACCATCCAGTGCTCAAAGCGGTCTTTAATCGGTGGTTGTCGTAGGCTATCAAACGATTGGGGAAGACCAACAGGGTGCCTGCATGGTGCTCGTCATATGGGGGCCCATCTTATCCACCGGTTGTAAACATGGCCTGTGTTTGGTGAGTAGATAACTGCATACACATGTTGTACCAATCTCGATGACTGGACTGAGCCACGTTCCACTGTCTTGCAGTCCCATCGATGAATCTGCTCACCACTCGTCGACAATCTTGATCCAGCAGGGACCACACTGATTCTGTATCCCGTCCATTTCGCGATGAATTCGCCAGTGTCGATGTCCCACAACCTTATTCTACCGTCCTCACCACTTTCTTCCCGTCCGGAGACAACGCTATGGTCCATACTGCTCTGATATCCCCGTCCCGCCAGTCCTCTCATATCTGTTTCCCATTCTTCAGGTTCCATACCCGCAGCGAGCTATAACTGAACAAGCATCATTCATTGTCCACCTGGAAAATTCATGGCGACCTCAACCCAAGCGGTGTGTCTTCAAATTTCTGGCTGGGCTTTATCGTCGATGTCTCCTACCTTTCAACGATAGGCGAATAATCAACTAAAGGGCATACCTCCGTCCCAACTTTCATCTAACAACAAAGTCCAAAATATCCCTTATCATGATATGTTTTTTTAGAAAGTCTCAACGTCTTGACACCAAGACAATGTGCATATAGGTCAGGACAGCACTGGAATTCTAAGCTGGTACGTTTCCCATACATTATCCTCGTGTCCACCTCACAGCTTACAATATATGCTATGCAGTCTATATCATATCCCAA